AGTCATTACAAAAGAATTCAAGAACCACTCCACTCCATCTTCTCAATCATTCATCGGGAAAACCTAATACTTTCCCCGACTCATAACCAAACCAACGACACCATCAACAACCTTAACACCCTCAACTTCAGCCTCAAAAATTCCCGTATTCCCACCAGATCCAACCTCAACCCACCGCTGCAACAAATCATTACTTTCCTTGGGCTTAACATCCGGCGACGCCGTGCCGACCGTGATATGCGCAATGGGATTCGCACAAGGCCACTCAGCCGCACCGGTTGCCTCCCCACCCTCGGCGGGCAAGATGCGCGCAACAAATGCCATGATGCGGTTATCCCAGACGAGACGCTCGATGCGCACGCGTGCGGAGCCCAGGGTCGGCGGGTGCTGGAGTGGGTTTGAGACTGGGTTTTTGGTCTGGGTGTCGATGTAGCGGGTTGTTAGGTGGTCCCAGGTTTCCGGGTGGTCTTTCTTTGAGGCGCGGTGGATGAGGGTTACGTGGAAGGTTGGTTGGAGGCGGCGGGAGTTTATGAGTTGGTGGTAGAGACGGGCTGTTTCGGGGTTTATTTTTTGTGGGAAGAGGGAGCGGAGGATTGAGGTTATTTCGTTTGGTGGGAGGGAGATGTTGAAGTATTCGATCTTTTTGGAGAGGGCTTGTGGGGAGAAGGGGGAGTCTGTTGGCTCGGGGAGGAGGCGGCCGGTTTCTTGGGTTTTGTTCTTGTTCTTTTGCTTCGGTGTTGAAGAATAGCTGTAGCTGAGATCTGTTGTCACGGTGTAGTCGGCTAGGGAGGCGGCGATGGCTTCATCGAGTTCTGCGGCCGTTGGCATGGTTGGCACCAGACGGGGGTAGGCGGCATGTAGAGCTTTAACGACAGTCTCGAGGTTCTCGCGAGACGAGGCGCAGACGTCGAGGTCGATGACGTGGTCGAAGTTCATGTCTGGCGAGCGGGTGCTGTCGATGCCTTCGAAACGGCCGAGGAATCCCTCCATGATTCCGACAATCTCTTCCCGCGCGTTGCTGCCAGCCCGGATGGTTTGATGGTTGTCGCCACGCTCGAGCACACGCTTTCGAGTGACTTCTCGAATCGTAGGGAGCAAGTCTGGCTTGGGCTCGTGGACGTAATGCAGAGCGACGAATTGCGCATCCGGGAGCACAGGGTAAATATCCTCCATGAGCTGCGCGCGTTCGCGCCGTAGATGGTTGTTGCGATCGGCGATGACCACGCTGTGCTCTCCCAAAGCATGGCTGACCTCGAAAGCAAACTTCTTCGGCTTGCCTTTCTGCTTGGGGATGTTATCGTTCTGAATATGTCCCCATCCGAAGAGCTTAACTAGAGCCAAGGCGAGTGTCGTCTTTCCACATCCCAGCGAAGCAATCGGTTCAAGAATGACATTTTTGTTGACCTCGTGCGATTCGGTCTGCTTTTTCGACTCCAGAGCGATAAGCTCGGATCCATTCAATCCTCGTTCCTTGAGGAACTCCTCTCGCAAAGCGATGATACCGTGATTGTTCATATAATCAGTTGCCATTTTAGAGTTCTTCATCAGAATCCGTCGAGCAAACTGCAAGTATTCTTCAGTGACCTTCTCATGCTTCCTGATCTTGGGGTGTTTGCCAGAGATGACGGCTTTGGTGCATTCACGCCACTGGCGGTACATCAAGTACGGCTCTTCGAACTTGTACTTGAAGAACCAATGACGGTAGGGCTCAGCTCCGTTTTCGCTCAGCTGGCATCGGATGACGAAACCCTCAGTTTCACGTCCATCCCATGTTCCTGTCTCCGCGCATCCTTCTAGGAAGCTCTGCACTCTGAAGATGTCATCAAAGACTTCAAACTTGGCCTTTTTGAAGCCCCAGTCATCAGCAAACTTGTGCACCTCGTCAGAAGGCATTGTCTGGAAGTCGGGCTGGTTATAGTTGAGACCGTGGATGTAAATGCCCGAAGAAGCCTCGTCGTAGGCCAGCACATGCTCCTCAAAAGTGTCGTCGCAGAGCTCTCCAACGGCTGTGACATTCATCTTGCGGAGAGTCCGGGCCAGGTCCTTGACAGATCGATTCACGGACGAGACATGGCGTTCTGCCCAGCGTTCTCCTGCCTGCGCGTGGCTCAATTTTGTATCGTCGCGGGCTCCTGTCGAGTGTTTGCTGCAGACTAGCAATGTGTCGTCCTCCAAAGCAGAGATGAAGATAATGCATCCATTCTCTTTCACACTCAGCTCGTAAGGACCCCTTGTGTTTTTCTCAATGTTGCGCCATTCTGTGGTCCTTACCTCGCCTATATTGAAGAACTTGTCATATCCGCGCGTCGCAATTTCGGGAATGCCATCTTTCCGTTTAGTGGTGAAGAGACCACGGGCATATGTCGGCAGACCGGGGTGCTTATAGTCCCAGTCCTGGAACTTCCATGAGTCGACAGTCACATTATTGGTACCAGCTACCACAAAGCTGGTCTTTCTGCAGCTGAAATTTGTCTCGCCCTTTTTAGCCTTGCGAGCAGTCTCCAGTTCTTTCACTAGCTGCGAAATGACGTGCGGATCTTGAGTCGCCATATTTTGTGTATCTTAGTGGGATTGCGGGAGGACGGAGAGGAGGGGCAGAGGGGAGAGATGGGAAATTTGTTCCTTCCGGCCTGAGGTATTCCAATATATGTAAAAGATGTAGAAGATGTAGGATTGAAACAAAAGAGAAAGAAAATATTCAAAGCAACAAAGTACAAAAGAGAAGAGTCAGAGAATGTGTCACAGTGCGGGGAGCCGAAAGGGAAAGGCGGATATTTTTTTTTCTGCTAAGTTGACTTGCCCTCACTCTTTACTCTTTACTTTTGACTCGATTTTATATTCACTTCCAATAAATACTTCTGACTCATAATGGCCCAAAATCCTTACCTCTTGGCTTGCGATAACCCAACGGCCCTTCTGGACCTACTGCGATCCAACCCCTCGATCGCATCGAGCCAAGATGAGTCCGGCTACTCATTGCTGCACGCCGCAGCCTCCTACGGCCATATCGATCTCCTACGCGCTTTAGTGAAAGAATTCAAGGTTGATGTCAACCTCCTCGACGAAGATGGCGAGACATGTCTATTTGTTGTCGAAGATAGCGACATCGCGCGCTGTTTAATCGAAGAGCTGGGTGTGGACGCCAATAAGAAGAACGCCGAAGAGTTCACAGCTGTGGAAAAGTTCGAGACGGAGAATGAGTTCCCGCAGGTCGCTGCATACCTCCGCGAAGTCGCCGGTGGTGCTCCTGCTCCCACACACGCCCAAGCCGCCCAAGTTTTGAATTCTCCCGGGCCCATCCCCGGCAGCGATATGCGGATCAACGTTGGCACAATGACGGAGGAGGAGGCCACTGCTGGTGGTGAGCCGGATCCAGAATTCAAGAGGCGCATTGAGGAGCTTGCGACCCGTGAGGATTATTACAGCGAGGAGGTGCAAAATGAGGTGCGCGAGTTGGTCAAGGATGCCATGGCTGGCTCGAATATTGAAGCTATGGAGCGGGATATTCGGAGGAGGACCGAGTAAATAGGGGTATTGCGACTGTCAAACCCATTCCACTGTCATATCGGACTCTTGTCTGTACAAGAAATCACCATCGCGTTTGAAGATGCGAATCACTGGAAGAAATCCAAGCATTTTCAGACGGAGTCCCGAACTCGCTGCTGATTGTGTCGAGCGCGGACGGGGTACTCGACCGCTGTCTCGGCAATATTTTGTCTCTCGCTATGAAGGCTCGCTGTTAGATTCCTGTTGGGGCTGTCCGAGTGGCTCGGAGGCCCGAATAGAAGCTTCTATATGATCTTGTAACTAGGATTAAATCACGAAATATCACGATATATCCAAGCAGCTTATCACTAATAAAACATTGTTAGCTACTAACTAAATATGTAGATATCGTACTATTACGTTGATGCAAATCGTAGATCACCGGTCTAGTCCCCGCCAAGCTCGAGCCTATCTCCGACGTAACAACATAGCTTCAACCTACAACCAACCTCGTACATATCATGTCTCAACCACCGTCCCCATTCCCCCCACAATCGCAGTTCTACTCATCCCAAATCATGAACCCCATCCACTCGGACACCCCTCCTCCACCACCCCCAAAACCCAACAGCCATGAAGCCAGTCGACGCGGCACCCCGCAAATCACCTCCGCTACACACTGGCAGCCAGACAACCAGCCAGGCACACATCAAGGCGCATACCCCAACAATCCTCAACAGCCATATATCCCCGAACCCCCAACAATCGAGGAAGGGTGGCTCCCAGACCTAGTATCCGACAAATCGTGGGTTCCCTCAACCCCCCACAACCAAGGATACCACCTCTAACCCACAACCCAGAACAACCGACCTCCAAACAATCCTCAAAGACCCAGCCCTAATCTCCGCCCTCTCAAGCCAACACCCCTCCTACACAGCCCGCCAACAATACCTTGAGGGCCTAATCCAAACGAACAAAGACCTCGCGACCCGCGTCCTAGAAATGCAGAACCACCTCGCCGAAGTCCGCGCCTCCACTGAAACAATGCTGATAACACACCAGTCGCTAGAGGTCTCCTGGCGCAAAAAGCAAGCCGAGATGGACGCCGCTCTAGCCCCGTGGTCACCGAAAGCGCTCTACCAGCGCTTCAGCGCGGCGATTACGGAGCAGGAGGCTGTTTGTCATGCTGTTGAGGAGAGTTTCCTCGATGAAGACCATCACGGCCGGGCAACGGAGAAGGAGATTGCAGATTGGGTGCGGCGCGTACGGGGCGAGGTATCCAAATTGGCGGCTCGGAAGGAGGCCAAGGCGCGATGGGATGAAGGACGTGTCGGTGGCTGGCGATGAGGTGTAAAAACAACCTCGAAATACAACTAATCACTGTATGACTGCCCATTAACGATTCCATGCTGCCTCCGATTCATGATCTGCTATGCACTATACAATACAATCTACACTGGACTTTCAAGGTCGTGATTCATCCGAATCGCTCAAACAAATCCCAAGTCCATCACTCACCCCTCAAGCCTAACAGACATACCCTCACCACTCTCCGGCTTGAAATGTCTCTGCGCGTGTGCCTGACCCTGACCCCTCAACACCATCTCCCTGACCGCAGCCGCGCCCTCAACATCAACATCCAATCCCCTCTCACCAGCCCACCCATCAGTCCCGAGCGAACTAGGAACTCCAACCCCACGCGCAAAAGCGCGTCCCCGACTGCGTGCACCCCAAGCCCAGCCCGCGCCGCGGCGAATCGGGAGATGGTACATTTTAAAAGCGATATAAGCGAAGAAAATGCCGATGGCCGCGCCGAAGAGAATATCAAAGCCGTGATGTCTGTAATTGAACCAACGCGACGCGGCAATAAAGCACGCTGTGGCAGTTGGAAAGAACGCAAGTAGCATTAAGTAGACGGGTGGCGCGGCGCCGCGTTTCCGCACGGATGTACTGTCATCACGGTGGCTTTGGTCTTCGATCGGGTAGCGCGGGAGATAGGGGAATGCGACGGAGAATTTTGAGCATAGCCAGAGGGTTAGATAGACTAGTCCGGCAAAGGCGACTAGGCAGTGTTAGTGTTAGCTCTTCGAATTCACATGCATACACTGTCACTGTCTTTATCACCACTGTCTTTATCACATCCATCCGAAGATAAAATGCACATAAACACGCTTGTATGATAAGAAAGAAATGAACTTACAAGAAGAATGCCCACTGGGAAAACTAGCAAACCCATCAATCCGCAACGAATTACTCTTATCGCGACAAATTTCCCACGAAACAAGTGTCACAGCACCCCTCACCGAATCCCCAAGCCCACCAACCGTGAACTCCGCAACGCGGTCTACATCCGGATTGCAGCGCGCCAGCATATCAGGTCTCGGTTTTCCGATAAGAACCTTCAATCCCTGTGTAGCTGTCCAAGCGCTTGCGAGTGCCAACGCAAGCCCCATCCAGCCGACGTTCCATTCCCAGAATTTGCGGCGGATGTATTGCGCTGCGGGGGGTTTGCGGGTGGGGGAGGTGGAGCTGGAGCTGGAGCTGGAGTCGGAGGTTGCTTTTGGTGGTATGACAAGCCATGAGATTAGGAGGATTAGGATTGCTGGTGCGAAGAGACAGACTAGGACTAGGGTCTTTGTTGTTACGGTTTCTTTGGTGTAGGGGTAGCTGATTGTTTGATCGGTTAGGCTGAAGGGGTGGTGGTTTGGGGGTTGTTTGTAGAATCCGTAGCCGATTAGGGCGAGGCCGCTAGGGGGTTGTTAGTGGTGTTTTGGTGGGTAGATGGATTGAATGGAGTGGTTGGGATGGGCGGACGTACATGATGAATACCCAGTCGATTATGTAGGATAGTAGTAACAGCTTGGAGATGGCGACGAGGCGCGTTACCGTCTCCTTGACGGGGAGGGGCATGGTTTGCTATGCAAGAGAATAATGATGGGATTGAAATCAAATAAAAATAAGGATAATGATACTGATACTGATAATGATACTGTGCGAGGTTCAAGGGAGGACGTCGGAAGAGTGACGAATGAGTGTGGCTGAGCAGGTGAGAAGCTTAATATTGGCAGATCACCTCGAACCCTTCCTATTCCATGTAATTGCAGCATAGAGATCTTCTTTTCACCTTCGAATGAGTATTTCCCTATATTCACGTCATTGATTATACTAGCTCCACTTTTCTATTGTTCAAGCACTTATAGCCTACTTTCTATCTTCATTAACAACCCATTAATATTTGACTTAATTCTCTCTGCAAGGTCAAGAGATTTTTGATGGAATAGAGGCTGAAGGCACGTTGTATTGAAATATAACCTACGAACCGGAGGGCGTTATGCAGTTCGTATAGAAGCAAACTGTGTAGGAAGCGCCAAGCTTGCTGTAGATAGCTTCGATCTGCTACGACTGACTTTGTGACCCAACATGATAGTGTGATTCTTGATAGTAAGCATTGGGGTATTCATTTGATCTTCATAGAGATAAAAAGTAATGTGAAACAAAACTAGTAAAACCAAGCATCTGCTGGTAAGTATGGCCCTCCATCACGATCAAAAAAATTCAATAATCCCGAGTGAAGGCCTGCAATATTCCAGAGAACGAGCCAAAGAAATATCGAAGAAAGAACTAGAATCCAGTGATCATCCGGCCGCCCATGATAGCATCGTTCAGTCGCTTGTGGACCTGTTGAACCCCGTCGAACCGAATGAATCCACAAGATTCGCTCTCCAAGTGGTTGAACAGGCTAGCCAGGGAGTGGAACTCTTTTGGGCAACCACGCTTGAGGCAATGATAGACCTTCTCCTTGTGCACGGACGAGTTGACATGGGACCCCAGGGCTCTTCGCGAGTTGAATCCCCGCTTGCAAATGTAGCACACCCAAAATTGACCATTCCACGCACTGTCAGTAACGGAGTATGTCACATTCTCTTCACTATGCCACGCGATCTGCTTCTTGCAGACAACGCCATTCGGATCAAGTCGTTGGATAATGCGGTGAATCTTGTCGCGGTTCAAGCCTTGAGCTCGAGGGCAGGATCCACTCTCGAGGTGATGGGAGACACCGCTAGCAGTGACAAAGCCAGTGCGACAGAACGGACACGGAATGCTGGCACCGCGATGGATCTTGGAATTCAGGTGCTATAAGATAGAACGATGAGTTGAACGGGTTCAAAAGTTCTCTCAGATCATGTCAGCTCTCCTACCTGGCGTAAACAGTTCTCATTCATAAAGGTACGCTCGCATTCATGGCAGTAGTTCTTGTAATGTCCCTTGGCTCTCATGTGGTTGTCGACGGCGGATTGAGTGCGGAAGGTGCTGGTGCATGTTTCACATTTGAAGGTAGGTGCCCAGTGGTCTACAGCATTCATATGCTGATAGCAAGCGGACTGGGAGCGGAACAGGCGAGTGCATGTCTCGCACTCAATCCAGTGATCATAGTCATTCATGTGCTCATCGCAGTCCTCCTGATACCAGAATTCATCATCACAAGTGGCGCATTCGAACATGGTGGGAGAGTGGAAGGCACCTTGGTACCTGTGAGAGTGGGAATCACTATGGAGAAAAGAAGAAGGAAGAGGGAAGGAAGAAGGAAGAGGGGGATATAAATTGAAAGATCAAACTTTGGGAAGGAATCGATCTATCACTTCCCCGAACTATGGAACTGTGGGGCTTATCAGAGGTCTTATCAGAGCAAATAGACGGGTGGATCCTGACGGGCGGATCATTGAAACGCCCGAGGGGAAGGGCAGAAAGAGGCGGAGACGAGTTCACCGCCCGTGGTGAGGTTAGGTCCCATGGACCCATCCAGTATCTGTAGTCTTTAACAGAATCTACCCCATCCATTGAATTTCTCTACACACCCGTAATCCTGAAGTTCCATCCAATCGATCGGATTGAACTATACCTGTAGCGTATAACAGAGTCCCCGGGAAGACCAGGAGAAGCTGTGGAGAGATTCGACTCGCTGGGGAGCGGGTCAGATTCTCGTCTGACAGATCCACTGGTCTAGGGGTACCTAGGTAACGGGTACATGCAAGTCTTATTATGTGTCTAGAGATGAACAGGACGATATGATAATATACTGTGATGAAGCTCTCGAGATAGCTTCATAGGAACCAAGGCCTGAATTGGGCAAAGAGATCCCAGATAAACTGTATGTAAGCAATGTCTATGCAACTATATGAAATCTCCAAGAGAAATGCAATTCATGATACTATAGGTGTCTCCGAAGCCATTCGTCTTCAGCTAGCTCATTAGCAGAGCTGCGCTTTGCCGGCTCCCACTGCAGCATCTTCCGCATCAACCGCACAAACTCCACTTTGTCTTGGCCATCGAGAGTAGTTTCTCTCTCCTCAAGGGGAACGTGATTTCTCAGTAAATCTTTAGCGCGGAACTCATCTGTATACTCATAACTGGCTAGTCAATCTGCACATGAAAATGACTCATAATTTGGCTCACCGACATTCCTCAGTAAAGAATCTGCTGCTGGCTGTCCCTTGTTTAAGAAGGCTGGTAGGCGGAGGACCAAGAAAAGATTTATCATATTGGCAAGATGGGCTCGACTTCGATACGTTTCAAATTCTGGGTCGTGGCCCGTAAACAAATGGCCTCCCTCAAAAATGTCCCAGATCTATAAGGGTTAACAAATCTTGTATGAATGATCTGGGAGTACTTCTCACCATGCATTCCACGTTCCATATATCAACACTGTATGTCCACGGGGCCGCAAGAATTACCTCAGGAGCGCGGTAAAGATTAGGTTGGATGTCCTCCGAGTGCTCTATATCACCGGGCACGGCAGATCCGAAATCGCATAGAACCGGATGGCCTATTCTCTTCGGCATTCTGAGGTCCTGAGATAGGTATATTGTTCTTCCATCTGGACCCACGACCTTTCTGGGACGGGGATTTTGCATTTCTGTCTCTTCAAATTCAGTGAAGACCGAATCATCCTCGATACCGATCGTGATATTACAGCACTGATATCTGACACAAACTTGTTGTTAGTAAACGATCGAAGTATATGTATCACGCTACCAACTAGTATGTATAGCTTTACACTCTGTGTGTAGATAATCCAAAGCTAAGAACAAACACCGTAGAATACCCACTAGAACGGGTGGAGGAAATCTCCCTACCGGGTTGCGGTGTAGAAACGCCCAAACACTTACCCATAAAGAAGGATGCATAAGACATAGGTGCTTGCCAGAAGCTCTATCAATTTCAAAACTGTCCAGCAGCGTTCTGACACAATTGCGCCCTTGGTGGCGTTTCGAACTTTTCTCCATGCGTCTATATATGTTAAGCTCGTCACCAAATTGCTGTCCCATGGACGTAGAATTAGTGAAGATTTTGAGTGCAACATGTCGCCGGGCGCTATAATCCTATGCATGAGCAGATTGATCTCAAACATTCTTTTGAAAATGTCATAAGGCGAAATCCTTACTCCATATCCTTTGCAAGCCACGCTGTCGAGGTCGTTCCGAATCCTAATTTGCCGACAGCTTGGTACCGGTCCTTGATGACCTCTCCTATTCGCGTGGGATAATAGCGAGAAGCGACATAGTCTGGAATTGTCTCCTCCTCGACTTTTTGACGGTATCCGAGCAAAGTTCGGGTTGGACAAGTTAAGGGGCTTCCAAATTCTTTCCAGCCGGATTCTTTCCAGCCGGGGTAAATACCGCTGCAAAGAGGGGGAACATATAAGAGAGTGGACAACTCTCTCGTGCAGAGCTCAACAAGTGAAAGAGGTAGCTGGATCACAATTGGATGCGTATTTTTGGTAAATATGTCGTTGCGAAGGGGTTGGCGGTAGAGGTGTGGCTGAGCAAGATCCTTGCAACATTGACACTTGAGCCACGCCTCTATATAATTTGGTTGCTTTTATGGTTGGAATGCCGTATACTAAATCATTTATTCATCACCAAAAACAAATCAATTTCATGTCATGTCTTCAACTCCCGATTGAGCTCTCGTACAATACCCTGGGTACTCTGTAGGATTTCATTTGTCCTTCCAAACCTGGATCTAAGCGCATCCACCAATGCAGGCGCCTGTTCCGCCTCCGGAACTTGACCTTCGACTGCAACAACCGCATGGAAGTCTGTCACCATACTCTCTATCTGCATGCTTACTTTTTCCAGAACAGGATTGAAACATTCAGCTATAATATCTGTGTATTCGCTGCGGGCCAGGTTAGAAAACTTGGCAAACAGCCTCGAATGCGTGAGATGATTATTCATGATTGCTTTCCGGCGGTGGAAACTGCCAGGTCCTAGAAGATATGGTTAATATAATCAGGTACAAAGACAATTCTATTAGGAGTGTTTACCGAACCCCCGTCTAGGTTAGACCTCCGCAAAGCCCATACATGGGCCCAGGTTCAGGCCCAAAGTCCAACCCAATCCAATGGGCTTAAGGTCGCAGTGTTAAACCAGCATATGCCCATCGCTCTAACTGCTCAAGAAGTTTCGATTGGGCGCCGTCAAAGGCTAGCATCGACATGGGTGTTTGACGGCAGCAAATAGGAAATTTCCACCGGATAAAGTCCGGTATGTATAGATACATGTGTTGTATATAACGGATTTAGGCCGTAGGTGTGAATTACCTGATCGGGGCGCCGCCACTTTAAAGGGCCCTTAGGGTCTTGCCCAGTAGGTTGTTATCCTACGCTATTGATTAATTAGTGATCACTTTGCTAGTCATACAACAGCCCATTTTGTGTACTACAATCGGGATATTCTAGGTAAAATGTGATTGATAATCGAATATATTGCAACTGAGATCTCATGTACTAGCGACTTATTCTTGGTTTAAGCAAGCCACAAGCAAGGATCATGTTGAATATCCAGAGATTTAAGGCAACATGAAATACAAATAAAACCGAAAATAAAACCGAAAACACAACAATGAAGTGCACAGGTGGTTGTTTGACTAACCGACAGAGTCAATCCTTTTCGCAATAGCATCAACATGTTCATCATCCGTACCACAGCAACCCCCTACCACCTTGACTCCCGGCAATATGTTCAAAAGGTCATTGAATTCTCGAACCCACAGCGGGATATCGCCCCGATCTAGCACTGGAGAGTTATCAAGTTCCTCGTGACTCTTCAGACTAGAATTCCCTCTAATCGACCCGATCCTCGACATCACATCGCTAGACATACCCTGTACTGCCATCAAGATATACCGTGGGTGAGCACAATTCACCCCAAAATATGTTACATAGTCCTCAGTTTGAAGATCGACTTCTCGAATCGCATCCTCGAGAGTCTTTCCTCCTCGTAGTCGTCCGTCTGTCTCAATGCTAAATGACACGTGGATAGGGAGATTATGCTCACGCGCTAGACTCACTGCTGCATTGGCCTCGTTGAGATTCGTCACAGTCAGGATACACAACATATCAACACCTTCTTCGGCAAACGCGCGAATCTGGGGGCCATAATACTCGCGTGCCTGAGAGAATGAAATCATGGAATCCTGGTAGGCATCTTGGAGAGGTCCCATGGCACCACTAATAACGATGGGAGGTGATGGAGTCTTGTTCCTGAGGTCATGGAGGATCTTGACTGCTGTATGGTTCAGATCGATGATCTGTTCGATGGAGAGGTTGATTTCGGAAGACCATAACGGCGAACCCCGCCAAGTGCGAGTTTCGAGGACGACGCCGGTTGAATGGGCCAAGGCAATATTGATGTACTCTTGGTAGATTGCACAGATGACTTTTCTGCCCTCTTCCGTGTTGAGAACTGGGAGGGTAGAGAAGCTAGGGAGATCGATGTTCTTTTTGAAGAGGATAGTTGTTTCGATTCCGCCTTCGGTGATGAAGAGCTTGGACGAAGTCACCTGCGGGAGGTTCGATTGGGAGGCCATTTTTCTGGTTTGAGATGTTGATATTGCAAATTATCACAATGTATGGCGACATATCTATATATAAGTAAGTCTTGCTTGAATACAGCTGCCATTCTCTACCTAGGTAGATATTCCTACGGCCCTCGGGGTAGATATGTCCTCGTCTTCATTAGGTATCAAAATAGCAGGCTAGCGATGTGTGTGGTGTGGTAAACGAACTGTGTAACCATCCAGGGACTTTGGTCCTATTGGCTAGTACTGCTGGCACAAGACTACTTAGGTCCTAATCATCCCCATTTCATAGATGGAGCACTTGTGTGGCGAGGCTTTGGGGGCCTGGGTGTGCATCTCCGTAGGTGCCTATATAGGCACATACGTAATATATCCATGGGTATCCGGTTCTTGACAAGTAATCAAACACCCGAAGGGGGGTGGGTCTCTTGTCAAGGGCCGGGTAGTTTCATAATTGTACCACCTTCGGTCCACAAGTAGGAATCGACCCCAATCATCCACCTCATAGTATAATAAAACCTGTTATTAACAAAATATAGAAATCCACTCTGAAATCATAGAGCACCTTCACAAAAGAAAAGAGGAAAAACGAGTGTGAGTGATACGTCATATATCTACGTTGTGCATCTATATTGAGCGTCATGCAGCCACGCAGATGAGGCTACTTGCGGGTCTACCCGTCTGCACCCGTGGACGGGTACACGGGTACTCCCGTCAGATTTCCTCGAAAGGCGGCAAGGGGTGAGCACTAAAAAAGAGCAATCAATCTCGCCCTAAAATCCGGCGTGTATGTACAACGGATTTGAAACATCACTCCCGGTTACTCATATCTTTTCAAGGTGCACTGTGTTGGCTATTTGTTTTTTCTTGAACTGATGGAGAGTTTTGAATGCTCGTGACCCTGTGTACAAGGGATATCCCATAGAGGGATGATCAACCGCTTCATTTAGTCTTGACGAAGTGACGTCGCTGAGAATTAACATTATTCGAGCGCTAGATGAAAAGCATGCAGAAATATGAACAGCCTTTTGTGCAAGTCATTGTCATTCTTCGTTGACAAGACCACGAACCTAAGGCTTATTATTGGCATAGCACTGTATCTCCTGCTCCTCGGAAAGAGTCCCATGTAGAATATAAGGCTTAGCAACTCGATCCGTGCAATTAGATCTATTATATGTAGAGATATGCCCATAAGCATGATTAACAATCAACATACATTTTCTCCCATCTCCGCTAGGAGCCGTCTTCTACTGCGCAACGGGGTTGCAGGGTCATACGGGGAAGTGATAAGGAGGGCGGGAGTCTTGAGAGTGTTGTTGAGATCGTCACAATACACCTCCGAAGGAGGAGCCTAACAGGTATTGTAATATCGACAAGGTAGAACTCTAAAAAAGCAGGATTTGCCAGCCATCCAACTCTCGATTTTTCTCCACGGCCATGATCGCTTCAGTAGAAATGAGCTTTTCTTTCTCTATCACAACGTTCCTAGGGAGGGTATCTATCCCTGGCCAAGTGGGTGCGAACTTTGGAGGTTAGAAAACCCTGCACAATAACCTAGTTTCGCGACTAGTGAGGGGGTAAGTATAGCACGTAATTTTAGGCGACTACCTATTTTAGAACTGCTAGTGAAAGGCCAGGGTCAAGTTAAGAAAGAAAAAAAGAGCTAGTGCCCAGGTGTAGTAAGCATTGCCAAGCGCCAACACCATTCGGCCCCATTAAGGCGAGACCCAGAAATGCTTATGATTTCCAATCCTTTCTAGAAGAACCCTAAGCCTAGTAGCGACCCCGAACGTTTCCAATATGAATCTGTGTGGATTGGCTTCAACGCCCTTGAATTCTTATCGATGTGGGGGCTTGGCGGAGCAGATCGTACATGCGCAATTGGCCATGTTAGAATTTCTCCCAACCCTGCAAACTTCTGAGGTATGATAGGACAAACTTGACTGGGGTGTGATATTAGTCGACATGAGTCACTATTACCAGCCAGTGACCACCGCCTGTGATTGGCCAGACAACTATAGAGATGGAATAAAACAATTCTTCATATTGTTCATCATGCTGTCCCTTCTGGGGCACCATTTTCACTACAGACTCGTGTTCTCGAGGGCCACACTATCAAAATGGCAGACCAAGGCGCAGGCTATCCCTCGCCTGCGGTGCCCAGTCTGCAATTAAAGGAACACGAGAAAGAGATCCTCAAGCGCCAAATTCACACGCCGGAGGAGTCGCAGATGGGTCGCTTAGAGCTTTTGTATTCATGTACAAAAACCTATGAACTACTAGTCCTGGTCATCAGCTCAATTGCAGCGATAATTGGAGGGGCCCTTCAACCCATATCGTTTGTGAGCTGCCCTCCACAGACATTCAATCTCCCAAGCTAATTTCCATACAGCTCTTTCTAGGAGGCTTAGCTCAAGCATTTAAGGAGTTCTTCCTGGGAACATCTTCAGGCTCTCACCTCTCATCCCTGGTCGCAAAGTTCGCGCTATATTATGTATACGTCGCCATTGGACAGTTTGTCTCAGTATACATCTCTACAGCCGGATTCATGATAGGAGGTGAAAATATAACCCAACGACTCCGAGAAAAATATCTCGCCGCTATCCTCCGCCAAAATATTGCATTTTTCGATGTCCTAGGAGCTGGCGAAATAACAACCAGAATCACTGCCGATATGAATCTGATCCAAGATTCCTTGACGGGCAAACTTTCTCTGACTCTGTACTCCTGTTCCAATTTCGGAACAGCTTTCATAATCAGCTTTGTGAAAAGCTGGCGCATGGCGCTTATTCTGATATCTGCAATTGTGGCAGAGACTGGATCTATGAGTATCTGCTCTTCGTTTATGGTCAAGTATACAAACATCTCTTTATCGGCATACGCAGACGGATCGACAGCTGCCGAGGAGGCGATCAGTTCCATCAGACACGTTACTGCATTTGGGATTCAGGACAAGCTGGCCGATCGGTACCAGAAATTCCTCACCAAGGCAGAGACTTATGGTCTCAGAAGTCGTATTGCTCTTGCGGCTATGATGGCCATCATGAATGGTGTCATATTTTGGACCTATGGATTGACATTTTGGCAGGGGTCTCGTTATCTTGTTGCTGGTGATATTGAGTTGGGGGCTCTTATAACCATTCTGCTCGCTGTCCTGACTGGAGCATTCACATTTGGTAACATAGCACCCAATTTCCAAGCCTTTGCAACCGGTATCGCAGCGACAGGAAAGATTCTTGCAACTGTGTCCAGGAAGTCACCGCTAGATCCATCATCCCCCACAGGAAGCAAGCTACGAGCTGTCTCTGGGACGATAGAAGTGAAGAACATTCGCCATGTTTACCCTTCTAGACCAGACGTGCTGACTTTAGATGGGGTAAGTCTTTTATTTGCAGCTGGAAAGACCACCGCTATCATTGGTGCTTCTGGCTGTGGGAAGAGTACATTGGCAGGCCTAATTGAAAGGTTTTATGAACCGATAAGTGGCGAAATATGTGAGCCTTTTTTCCAGTGAAAAGATGGACCAGGCTAATAATTGCCTAACAGTGCTCGATGGCCACGATATCACGTCTCTAAATTTGCAATGGTTGCGCCAACAAATAGCAATCGTCACACAACAGCCCACACTTTTCGCCACAACTGTGTTTGAAAACATCAGATTTGGTCTGATAGGCACGGAACATGAAACATCCCCTTATAATGTGGTAGAAAATCTTGTGTTTGACGCCGCAAAGAAAGCGAACTGTTTCGATTTCATTTCCGCCTTGCCAGACGGATTCCACACTAGTGTTGGTGAAAGAGGCTCATTACTCTCGGGTGGACAAAAACAGCGAGTTGCCATTGCACGAGCTATTATAAGTAATCCAAAGGTTTTACTGCTGGATGAGGCTACTTCGGCTCTAGATGCCCAGGCCGAGCGGCTGGTACAGGCTGCGCTCGACGTTGCTGCTGAAGGCCGGACAACAATCACAATCAGTCACCGGTATGTGATGTTCAATTACTCTTATTGACATAAACTGACGATTCAGATTATCCACTATCACAGCGGCAGAAAATATCGTTGTCATGTCTCATGGACGTGTTGTCGAGCAAGGAACCCACAACGACCTACTTGAGAAACGAACGGCGTATTACGAGTTAGTGGAGAAGCAGCGCATGTCAACTGAACGGAGTATCGTCACCAGTGATGCAAACTTTGCCCTCCATGCAGATGACCTTCCTGATTTGAAAGATGATGTCGATGAGTCCAAGTATATGATCGAGATGGGGCACAGGGAATCCGAAGACCGCGAGAGAGATTCAGGGAAGGCTGGCCGTGAATACTCCTTATGGGAGTTGATCGTGTTCATCGCAAACTTCAACAAGAAAGAAACGCTTACCATGGTTTTGGGTCTGTTGTTTTCAATCATCACAGGCACTGGAAATCCCACGTAATTATTCCCATGCACTATGCAGAATATCCAGGCTGACCATTTCCTCAGCCAGGCGGTGTTCTATGGCAAGACAATCGCGGCACTGTCTTTACCCCCTGATATGTATGGGAAGTTGCGTCATGATGTCAACTTCTGGAGTTTGATGTATCTGATGCTGGGAGGTACTGCATTCCTGGGCTGGGGAGCCTCTGGTCTCTGTTTTGCCTACTGCTCCGAGCGCCTGATTCACCGCGCTAGAGATCATTCTTTCCGATCAATCCTCCATCAGGATATTTTTATGTTCGACAAACCTGCGTTCTCGGCCGGTTCGCTGATATCCTCGTTGTCCACGGATGCCACTAACCTTGCCGGAATGAGTGGTGTGACACTAGGCTCCATCTTCATTGTCTTAACGACTTTGGTTGCTGGCGTGGCTGTATCGATTGCGATAGGTTGGAAACTGGGACTGGTTTGTACCGCAACCATTCCAATTGTTCTTACTTGTGGTCTTGTCCGACTCCAGATCCTCGGGGAAATGGCTCGGCAGTCGAAGGCGGCGTATGCTGCTTCAGCAACCTATGCTTGTGAGGCAAGTTCTGCCATAAAGACAGTTGCGTCCCTCAATCTCGAAAGCCATGTACAGGAAGAGTATCACAATATATTAGAAGCCCAGCGACAGAAATCGGTCGTTTCAACGCTCAAATCATCAACGTTTTATGCAGCCTCACAGTCGGCGAATTTTCTCTGCATTTCACTGGCCTTCTGGTATGGAGGACGTCTAATCATTCACGAAGGCTATTCTATGGTGCAGTTCTTCATCGCTTATGCAGCTGTTATCGTAGGCTCATTCAGCGCCGGAGCTATCTTCTCCTTCGCGCCAGATATGAGCAAATCCCGGCAGGCAGCCCAGGATATCAAAACTTTGTTGGACCGACCTGTCAACATCGACGCACGTCAAATAACTGGCGAGCTGTTAACGAAAATCGATGGCAGCTTGGAGCTGCAAAATATATATTTCCGATATCCCAACCGACCGGAGAGGCTGGTTGTTAGCAACCTAAGCTTGAGTGTTCAATCGGGACAATACATCGGTCTCGTTGGCGCGAGTGGATGCGGGAAGAGTACCATCATTGCTTTGCTGGAGCGGTTCTTTGATCCTGAAGCGGGACAGATCTTGGTTGATGGGAAAGACATTTCTAAGTTGAATGTCAAGAGCTACAGGAGTCATGTTGCGCTGGTTAGTCAAGAGCCGACACTCTATCAAGGAACTATCAGAGAGAATATTACCCTGGGTACCAACGACGAGGATGTTTCCGAGGAGAAAATCACCAAAGCATGCAAGGATGCCAATATCTACAACTTCATCCAATCTCTGCCGTGAGTCGTTCCTTTCCCTTACACCCTCCTCTAGCTTTTCCTTTCTGTATTTCTTGATTGCACCGAGGCGAATATCTACTAACTCTCAGCCCAGTGATGGCATCTCAACGGTGATAGGAGCGAGGGGTGGCATGCTCTCTGGCGGGCAGCAACAACGAGTAGCCATTGCACGAGCGCTTCTTCGCAATCCACGTATCCTCCTCTTAGATGAGGCAACATCCGCGCTCGATTCAGAGTCTGAAAAGATCGTCCAGGATGCTCTGAATGCGGCGGCTCAAGGCCGAACGACGGTCGCCGTTGCACATCGGATAAGCACAGTGCAGAAGGCTGATTGTATTTATGGTAAGAGACCAATCTTCTATTCACAGAATATAGAGACTGATTTATATAGTGTTGCATGAAGGGAACGTTGTGGAACAAGGGACGCATCAAGAGTTGATGGAGCTGGGGGGAAGGTATTTTGAGTTGGTGAAGTTGCAGAGCTTGGAGAGGTCGGATTAGAAACTGTGATCTAATAATAGAGTGGCGTAATCTTTGAAAAATGAGCGTAAGTCACAAAATAAAGTAGAAGTCTAGTACATGTATATTTAGATCGGTGTTCTCATGAATCTTAGACCTCCTACCTAGCGGTATAGGCGCCGACTGCCAAAACCCTATGTTGATGCCTTGATGCCTAGTTTTGGCCTGGCGGGCTGAATTAAAGACCGATAGAATAATTAACTAAAATACCTGAATTACTATTGCACAAGCCTTAATAATCAAAGTATCCTAGTTCACTTTGGCGTTCCTAAGTGTCAAAAATGAAGCTTTTGATCCATTTTTGACAGCTGTAAACCGCCTAAGAACATGGAGATGCGACCATTTGTATGGAGATCAAAAGCTTCAATTCTGACACTTGCAAACCATCTAAGAAAGTCGAGATCTTTCAATTTGTATGCTGATCAAAAGCTTCAGTTTGGGATGAATTATTTACAGTAACGTGTTTTGTCGCGTTTTTAAATAACTATAATGTATAAATTTAACTAAATATTATTTACGTATTAATTAACCCAATAAAATAAGCAAGGCCATATCCATAGGCTTCCTGCCGGGTATGGACATGCTAGACAGTTCCCAATATTCTTGGTGCTATACTTCCAGCACCAAATCATCTTTGCAAAATCTATTATCCCAAATACATCTTTCATATGTCTTCACTGTAAATTTCAGCATACGCGTTTTACCGCTTTGGGAATGTAATCGGTTGGCTGAGACATGTGAATGTGCAGTTGGGCCTTCCTACGCGCCCGGTGATCTTTTTATAAATACGCGCCCGATGCGCTGGTACTTATACAAGTACAGCGAAACAAAAGATCCCTTGAAATCCACTCATAACCAGGTTTAATCCGGCCGCTTGAATCCTCCGCTAAATAATTCCCACTGCGTGAGCTTTCTTCAGCAAACATCTCAACTCGTTCCCCAGCCCCATCCTACGCATCACCTACACCACCTTCCCGTATCATTTATTTGTGAACACCTCCCACCATGTCAAGTGACATAAGCGCACAGGTAGATATCGGTAGTCTTTCCCTCTCAGGCCTCAAGCAAGTTACGGGGATACTTAGCGTTCTCTCGGCCGACGATGTTCAACCCATGGCAATGCTCCAACTACAGGATCTGGGTACACTATTTCCAACAAGCGGACCGGTTGCATCTAAAGTCCCAGACCATCTTTTGAGGTGCAAGAGCGTACGTATTGAGCGACTTGGGCTCATGGTTGGCTGGCGCAAGGGCGACTCAGCCTCACTCATGGCACAATCAACCGGTGGCCAGGCTGTGGCACTGCTCTCGGTTTGCCTCTGGAGTATTTACCATGAAACCACCGGAGAAATCCTCCACGCTATTTCAAGTGAGATTTTGCCTCAGTCCGCTTCCTTAAGTAGCCCTGGACTTCTGGAAAAAGCCGCAAAGATACTTGCCGATAAGCTTGCTGTGATTGGTTTTGGAACCATCCTTGCAAAACAGGTGTCTCGTATCCATGATGCATACGAGCACTTGAACGTGAAAGTACCCTTTGATATCTTGAAGCTTTTCAGTCAAGATTGGATGGCGGAATTTCTCATAGGTGTTTCTCGCGCTTTACGAGAAGAAAAGGCGACCATTCGGGTGCGCGGATCCTACGGTCTGGGATACATATCGGCTCTTATGATCGCCTTGTTTCCCGATGACTGCACCATTACAATTGAGCAGCTTGTTATTCACGTGGGAAAAAACACCTCGTCCATCAATATTGATATTTCAGCATCTCCTGTCGAAACACTCCCTGAGGTCCACTTCATGGAGACGGTTGAAAGCATTGCCGATGTCTTTCTCAATCCAGCGAATGCAAAATACAAATCAGAATCCGAATTGCTCCCTAGCGGCGAGCTTTCCTGGGAAGGTCACGTTGCCGCATTTTTGCGCCTGCAACTTCACAATCTGGGCTTCATTTGCTCCCCTGAGGTCGTCAAAGCCGTGGGGATATGTGCCTTGGCAATGTCAGACAAAATATGTATAAGATTCAAAGACCAAACTCCGCGAATTCCTGCCATCAGCATCCTGGGCGAGAACTACCGGGTAATGAGACACGAACGCTGTGAGATTGCTATGGGCGTTTCCTTACCACTGAGTTGGCCGCCATTTGATGAAGCCATGAGGCTGCTAGATGAAGCGAAGAAGGCTATGAAAAGAGTTGGTCCAGATCTGGGATTCCACGAACCGACTCTAGTCCCCGGCCGCCCGGGACCTGGCCTAATCAATTGTACTGTTCTGGCTACATTGAAGGACCTTTACTTGAATCCCCACGACAAAGCCACCTCTGCAGGGGCCTTTTCATTTGCACGAACATCGAATATTTTTGGGCTGGGTAATGAGTTTGAAAGCATAATTCCCTGGGTATCTGATGTCATTCTGGACAGAATATTTCATTCTATTAATCAAACCAACCCGAATACGACGATTGCAACGTCACGTGGGGCCATTACATGCGTGCCATCTCCGTACCTCGCTTTGAAGGACGATGATATCTGTCGTTACCGCAGCATCGAGGTTTTGGATGGCCCGATCATTTACAACGGCCGATACTACAGTGAAGTTACTAATCCCGAGGCCATCCGGAAAACTTATACTAGCAATCTGTCTGAATTGGGCGAGAAACCCAGAATTGTGCCAAGCTCAGAAGGGTGCTTGTCCCAATTATCACTGGCGACTAGGGAGAGCCTGAAAGGAATGGTACTGGAAACCACATTGATAGAATCTGGACAAAAGATTAGCGTGTCTCTGGCAAAGAAAATGCGCTTTTTATTCGGTCTTATCAAGGTCACACCGTGTGAGCACCCACGAATGACGCCATTGAAAGAGGAGTATTGCAAGAAGGCCTTGACGGCCTCTGTTTTATCTCCTGATCCTAAGGAAGGGTCTATTGCTGTTGTACAGACCGCCGGAAATCCAGTCGCCCAGATTCTTGCACTGTCGGATAGTTGGACTCCAGCAGTTCTCTGTTACAGATGCTGTCTTAATTGTGCATTTGAGCAAGCAAAGGAGTGGAAAGCCTCTAAGATAATTGTTACATGATTTAGACTAGTTTGCGCTATTATTTATATAGACAGCATCGTGGAAGAGACCTCCCAAATCGAATCACTTAAACAAACAGGCCATACAATGCAGACCAGAGCTAGGATGTTGGTTATTATCGTACAGAACATCCTCAGTCTGCGAGCAAACAATCATGGGATGGAACAATGCCCAACAGAACGTCCATAATTCTCTATGTCAACACATCGATGTCAATTTTCCTTATCTCCCGCCCCCGTAGTTGTAATACATCGGCTGGTATGTAACTCAAAAGCCTATGTCAAGCACACAGGGAGAACTAAATTGTGATAAGAATGTTTTGCAATTATACTTGGCCCTCGATTCTACAGTATCTACCTGGCAGTCCCACGAGACTCGATGCGTACTACATCCAAGCGGAAATACAAGCGGAAAGGTCCTCCAGTGTCCTCTTTCCTGCTACTTCCTAATGAAGTTTTTCTCACAATCGCCAACCACTTGGATCATTCGGTGGACGTCAACCATCTCTTGGAAACCTGCCATCGATTTTGTGACGTTCTCGACCCGTACCTTTACCGCCGCAATGTCCTCTATTTCCACGGCCGAGGTATATGGAGGGCCGTGCCTAGAAGGAGTGAAGCTGCAGTTCTCAAGTTTATCTCGAATGGGGCCAATAAGGACCAGTGGCAGATCGGAACTGCAGAAACTGTGGCTAAGAGAGAAATGGATCGGGAAAGATTTATATCACGTTATTGTTATAGTTCGGACTCCGCGCCAGAAGGTTCTTCTGAGGTGGCATCTGATCCTAGTGATTCAGAGGATTCAGAGAACATTGGTGCACAACGGTATCTCTTACTTGATGTATCGTCAAGTGACGAATCAGACAATTCGAGTGGCTCGGAGGAAACCAAGGAAGGAATACGTCTCCAGGAAAGAATGATCTCGCACGATAAGAGGCGTTATCGACAGGAACCTCGGGAGCCGCTCCTGTATCTTGCGGCGAAGAAAGGATACGTGCGCATATTCGAGATTCTTCTTGAAAATGGCGCGCCCCCAGAGGCTCGCTCGGAGGGTGGGATCTCTACGCTCGTATGTGCGTCACAGTGGTGGACAAGGGCCATGGCTTTTCTTTTGCTACAAACGATCATTTTATTGAACGTCAGAGGCATTCCGCAGAGCAACGCGTTCGAAAGGACAGTGGAGAAATATCACCATGAGAGACTAGAGGTCCTAGCCAAGTACGATATTTCAGAGCCTAACTTGCGAGGTGGGAATTCAAGGCAGCGTGGTAACGCAAGAAAACAATTCTCCTGGGAGGAGGCTTCTACACTGATGCTGAATGCGATCAGGGGCCAGTATGTTGAGGTGATTCGGGTGATGCTGGATAAGGGTATGCGTCCGAAACATGTGATAGATTCCGGAGGCAAGTCGGCATTTGACGTTGCCTCCGAAGTTGGCAATGTGACTGTCATCAAAATGCTTGAAGGAAAGGGTGAGGAAGGGATTGAAGATTAGAAATCGAATGAATTGACATACATAATTCCACTTCCAAAAGGGGTATTTTGACACCACCAATTCACTATGACCAGTCAGCAGCGCATAACAGGCTGTCTATGTATGAAGACAGGGCGATAGGAGCGTATAGTAGCAGTGGTGTTCATTTACCCCCGACCCTCGCAAAGCAAAATGTAATTGCAGCAACTGAATATATCCGTGTAGATACATGCAAGCTGTGCCATTCCCTAGAAACGAACTCCGGGAGGCAGCAAGAAAGAGAAGTAATTGATATAGCCCCGTTGCCACCATGAAGATCTGGGCTTTTGATAATGTCGAGATTGGACTGGGTAAAGGGATTGCACCTAGATCCCTCGGTACGCTAAGGCCACATGCATACCCATAGCGCTCGATTACAGGTTAAATGTGACCAGACTCCAGATCAGACTAATGGATCATTCGTTAGTCACCCGGTGAAAAACATCAAGGTTTGTGGGAGCATGATCCATAGTGATGGTGATATTCTGACACCTGCACGATGAACAATTGCTGGACAGGGCGCTTTCAGTTGCACCTGTGAGCCAGCCCCATAGTAATCATTGCGCTTGGAGCTGCAGCTAATAAGCAACCCATCAATGGGACCGGTCTAGGATTGCCAAATATGGAATGTGAAATGCGCAAGGTAGCTTTCCTGCATTCCCGTATTTGACGCCCTGGGCTGAGGTATATATTTTCGATGAGATCTCGCGGTATAACAAGCAGATTACTCTTGGAGGTTGAATGGCGAGAATTATCTCTGACATAGACATCTGTCACATGATTGTCGCTGGTATTATCGTCGGGTATTTGGAGACTCATGGGACCGTTTTTGTTCAAGGAAACCTGGCAAGTCGAAGTTAGACCGCGGCTCAACTGTCCCGATCGCAGACTGGGAGACAACCTGGAAACAAGAGACCAACCCCCGCACATGGTCTGCGGTCACCGTGAAGCTCTTGTATCCAGTGTCTGGTCCAGTGATACATCTTACATACCTTGTTTGGACCAAATCTCCGTAGTATACCTCAGTCAACCCCAGGCTTGTTCCATCGACGGGCAGCCCCAGATTTCCACCAACCCAATCTCAGACCATTGTTCGAAGTTGAACTTGCATGAGTGGCCCAGTATGGTAGCAATTGGGCTGTATTATTCCTCGATCAGACCATAGTAGATGCAGAACGGATTGGAACAACTAGGTATCCTTTCCAAAGACCTGCATTGGCGTGGGGCAGGCAGTGCTGCTTCCCTAGATAATGGGAACCTCTGTCGGCTTTGTATGGTGGTATGTATGATGCGGTTGGGCATCCAAAGTGACTCGTGTCCATGTCAAACCGTAGTCAGACCCACTCGTCCTTTGGTTGTATGTCATCGCAATGGGGTCGAGAGCCGAGGAAGTCCATCTGCAACTCGGCCTCTTAGTAATCGCATCCCGTAGATGGCAATGGAGTTATACTTACCTGATATCGAATCACCCAGAGGTGGCATACTTTCTTGGCTGGCTGGTTGCGCCCGTAGAGCTTGCATTCGGTAAGGCTTGCTTCGATCAAGCAATGTTGGCAGGCTTGGCAGTTGAGCTGTCCAATCCATGCGCCTCGGCGAGGTGATATTTCGGTCTTGTGGATTGTGCGAAGTTCGAGAAAACCTGGGGCCCCAGCGGAGGTCCCAGGAGTAGGTGCCATGATGTGAGGAACAAGGCTATCCGTCATGCTCGAACCAAAGAACGAACAATGGGAGTTTGTCTCTACTGGTACAGTACATATCGCACGCCGCCATTTTCACCGCCATTGCTCTTATCGCCCGCCCCGTGCACCATCTTCCCCTTTTACGCGTAATAGTGCTAGGTAGGAGGAATCATAATATGAACAGCTGCACTCTATTCCTATATAGCTACAAAGATTTTATCCTGTTATTTATTGAAAAGCGGTCATTCAAGATAGACCTGAGAGACTACAAAAGGTAACAGTTTGATGAGATGAATAGATGGCAAGCTCTGTTGCATGCAGTAGAGACAGGTCATAACACATGAATAGGGCATACATAACACAGAGACAGGGCATAACACAAGGACATATATCAATTGGCAACAAGAGGCGTAGACATATGAAGCATCTCAGGGGTAACATGGTTCTATGTTAGACTTCTTCTCCAAGCGCCCGGATAAGCCGAACAATTGATGAAAAAGGGTTTCGCATCCATCGGGGGTAGTGTAAGCCCAAGGACACAGTGAGACCTAACTGTACCAAGGCACAGTCAAGCCGCGGGTTCAAAAAAATATGTCTTTGTGCAGGGAAGGCAAATAGAAATGGAAAAGGGGAAAGTGGAGGAAGGGGGAATATTTAAAAAATTGTGCCAGTTGAAACTGACCAAAGTGACTCCTTGGGGAAAAAAAAGAGAAAAGAAAAAAGTACGAGGCTCTGCGGGAAGTGGGGCCACTTTATACTCCCAGGATCGGATATCGGAGCAATGATATTCCGGGTGAGTGTAAGGGCCAGGCACAATGCTTCGGTGCAGTAACATACCTAGGTAGATACCTAGGTATTTACAAGTATCGAACGTTTTGACCTATCACGTGCGTGCTGAAATTTCAAGCAATCAGCGTTCACTATGATAGCACGTGCGTTATGGACGTGTTGCACGTGTCGCGCATAGAATGTCCACGTCAAGATTCTTCCAAGTTTGCCCAGGAAGGTGCCCAGATGGGTTCTAGGGCTTATATAAGCCTAAGCATAGTAGACTTCCATAGTCACTCTCTGATTCCTCCCTAGTTTCATTATCTGATCTACTAGAGATTCTTACACAGTTTGTTTTCATCTTATCTCTGTATGGGTCTACGTCGTAAGGTGTAGAGAGGTTAGAAACTGTAAGATTCTCTACATAGCGTGCCTTCATAGACATCAACTCCTGGTATATAGCAGTGCTATCAATCGGCTGCCCGTCCTTTGATCTATGAATTCATGTGACGATGGCTTTCCAATGGTCCACGCACGTAGTCACGCATTTTCCGCCATCGCGATATTACGAGTATTTTGGTGCGGGGTGGTACCATTTGAAGTCCCCAAGGGAAGAGAAGCCAGCCATTGGTGCAATAGTAGGCGTATGTCGAGCTCTGGTGTCGGCATATGGAAATCCTGCACCTGAGGGGGTTGGGTCACTTGGTCAAAGGCAGAACGCCGGTGTATCATAGCCTTTTCATCATATTTAATACAGACACATTTTTCCAATCCTTGATCATGATGACCCATATACGATCTAGCCCAGCAGTTGCATATCCAAACAAGAGAATCACTGAAAGGCAGGCACTTGAGATCCCCTGGTTCAAGCCAGCTATGTAACAAATATCCGAAGTTGGGGAGATAGGCCTGGAATATTTTCTCGTCATTTAGAACTGCAGCACGATGAAAGTGCAGTGAGACATGTGTTGTATGATAGTTTGGCAGTGTTATGGAGAAGGCTATTGTCTTGGGAGTAGCACTCATTCTAGTGCTTCGGTATCGATTAAATTTACTTTGCTCAACTTAGCTTGGAAATGGTTGTATGTTTCACTGTAGTATATTAGATTCAAACAATGTGATTTGAGTCACACAATATCCATGAATATTCGACACCTCGCATTCATCACTCACAATTCCCGAATAGCACCAGCAAGGTCATCCATATTCTCCAAAAACATATCAAACTCAGTTTTGACAACCTCCATATCCTCATCAATATCATCGGTCCATCGATGAACATAAACAGTCCTCAATCCACACTTCTGCGCACCCCGCAGATCATACGCATGTGCCGCAACCAAAACCACCTCCTCGGGCAGGAGCTTCACAAGCTCCAACCCCTTCTCATAAGCTTCAGGACGAGGCTTATAAGCACCCAGCAACTGACTCGAAAACAACATATTGAACTCCAACCCAGAAGACCTTGTCAAGTCCAACTGGAGCCGTGTCGTACCATTCGCATGGACGAAGACTTCGAGACCGAGATCTTGTCGAAGACTCTTGATTGCATCGGAGACTTCAGGCCATGCTTTCTGTGAATGCCATGCTTCGATTACTTTCTTGTTGATCTCGGGGTCAAAGTGCGGTTTGTGGTCGGGTGACTGGTTGAGAAGGGCTTCCAGGGTGCGGGCAAGGGTGATATCGATGTCTTCTGGGTGGAGGTTTTCGTTGACGCGTTTGCTGTTCTCTAGAAAATATTGCTTGCGCCATTCTAGGGCAAATTTTGAGGCTTCATCTTTGGGGATTGCGCTGGGTAGAGCTTGCACTACGCTGCTATGCCAGTCGAGACATGTTCCCATGAAGTCGAAAAAGACTGCTTTGATTTTTGGTTGCGACATTGGTATAACTAGTAGTTGGTATGAGGTTAGAATCAAGTTTTACGAAGAAACCTGGGAGTAAGCTGACATGTAGATCCGATCCTCTTACAGGTAGCGGGGAAGACTCGGATTATAAATCCAAATGCTTCATCCCCAGCTTGAGTATGCTACCTACTTCTCCTTTTCATTTACTTTACTCAAGCTCTTCAATGCACAGGCTAATATATCCTATATAAAGATAAAATTACGCAGTCACTTTTGAGAAGTTGATTTGAAATATCAGCTCCAAAAAATATTTACAATATCAAAAGTAAATGCACAGTATATCAACAATTATCAAAGACCGCCAAGGTTTCAGTCAATACAAGGAAGGCCCCAGACTTACCAGATCTCGCGATCTTCTACGAAGGATATATGTCCGGTTAATGACATACTCTCCAGATTTAACCTTCTGATAAAAGTAATCACACATCGCTTCAGCCACTTCATAGATAGCGTCCTCGTCGGGAAGCTCTCCAGCAACCCGGACTGATATGCAATGGGACCACCGGTGATGCATGGGCGACTCGTTGACTGTAACCTGTCGGTTTACGACGCGGTATATCATAAGACGTACCAGCTCTAGATTGTTAAGCTTGGCCTCGTCGGGGTCAAAGTACACTGTGACCCATACAACTTGGTCTCCTGATGGGCCATCGGCAACGGGTATATCTTCGATGCGGGTTCTGAACGCGGTTCGTGTAGACATAGTGGATCTTTTTTGTGTTATTTATTATGGGAATATGTTTGGGATTGGCGGTGGTGAAAGTTCGTTTATTTTGAGTAGAACAGGAGTGAGACAGGAGGGAGTATTCTTTTTTTCTCCAAGTGGGGGTCGTACGTGGGTGTAGGGGGTGACGGTGCTTAAATATTTCCCATCAGGACAAGAAGGTATGCCCTATTATAAGTGCGCTGCTTGAGCCGTTGATAGAAACAAAGGACTTTTTGACAACCGTTTTGTCGGGTCTTCTCGTTTTGCACCAATTATAGGAATAGAGTCGACAAGATATATATTTCTTTAGGCCTCGACATGAAAGAAATAGTCTCATCGAATGGCAGATAGGCAAATAGCCCTAGTTTAGAGAGGTCTTTGTTTTTAAATTAGCCAAGAAATATACCAAAACAAGGAACAAAGACCCTTGATCTTTCACTTCTCAGACTGAGACGTCATATACATCTGTTCCATTCTTTGTCTACGCCCTACAGTTTTAACAATAGAAACAAATCCATGTAAATGAAACCCTCTAAAATGCATCCGACCTCAAATGGAAAAACCGAAAAAGTCTATCCCGATCAATCTCAATATTCCCCGCCGCACATTCAGCCTGATAAAAAAGGGCCAACTCCAACGCATCCCTAAGAAAAGCATCCAAATACAAATCCCGATACCGTGCAAAAGCCCAATAATCTCCACGGGCGGGTAACGAGAGACACCCCATTACTCTGTGGTGCATGGGCTCGGGAGTAATTGAGATACTGATATGAGGTGTTTGCTTAGCGATTCTCACGTGGATGGTCTCGGCCACTAGATCCATAAACTCTGCGTCTGTTTTGTTCCGGTTTTCTGGGGTCGCGATAAATACGTTTACCCATACTATGGGTCCACGGATGCGACATCTCTCGTCGGTGTAGATGCCGTTGTGGATGAACATACCTCCTTGTGCCATATTTGCCATATTTGATGGGCCTTTTCCTGGATGGACTGGGGCTTGGTGGAGGGAACCATTTCCCCTGCTATGAGGGTGTCACTTCTAACCCTTCCTTGTGATCTTATGATGAACAATAAATTGGAGTTCAGAAGATATACACTTATCCTTATGTTAGTTGAATTATCGTCAGATCTTTGTTGGGATTGAAGGTCTATGTTTCATTGTTACAATGGCTTTCTCAGATCTATTCAAGATGACTAGAAATGGTCTCAGTCGTAGATTACTAAGACAAAGAGCTTTGGGGGGCTTGTTCTGATTCATAGCTGGTTGAACAAGGAACTGTGTTGATATAGTATCGTGCAACGTATGAAGCACATATGTTGATTGTAAACGTTACAAGTTCATTATGATGGTAACTTGTGTACCTCTAAGGAGAAGCAGAAGAAAAGGCGAACTTGGTCCACACTTTAGGCTTAACTATCTCGTATAGATATCATGATCATGTAAGGGTTTACAGCCACGTATGCGGGCACCCGTGAGAATATGAAATATCTACCGCTCCAAAGAGAGGAGAGACATGTCTACGGAGTATATATCAATAATTATAAATTCCTTGGCATTTTGGGGTCCATGCAGTCTAAATCAAGCGGCAATGTATGAAGACCAAAACGGACATGGCTGAACTTTTAGCTCTCTGTATAGATATCAGGCTAGCCTAGATAGGCAGTGATAATCAAACTTGGAATGTCTCCCCAGTTCTGATTGGCTGGAAAACGGTGCCTGGCCCGGAGATACTCCACGGTCGAGAACCCCATCGACCCTCTTTTGACGCCCCCGTTATGGCTTTGAACTGCAGTCAGCAATCTGTTTCACCTCTTTCTTGGGGGCCACCTTCTGGTGAGATGATATTCCGAGTGAGACGGAACCATGAGAGGAATAGCTTCTAGAGAAAGATACCTTCGTCTTTACGGAGATGAAGCATGATTCTTCGGGACTTTACCGGCAACAAATAGTATGAAAAGGGCATCCTCACCGCCACTGATTTCCTAAAATAACCCTAAAATGACCCTCAAAACTCACAGAACACGGAGTACTATAAGCCTGAGAGGCTGAAAATATATGTAATTTACTTGGCAAAATACACGTCAGGTCAACAAACCTCCCCCGTGCAGTAGTCTGGCCAACTAGCGTTATTGGATGCTGCTACCTGCTTGAGGTGACGGGTGCCAAATGCCATTCGTAGTGGGTGGCTAACCAACCTTGGAAGTTAGTCTACTGTCACCTCGTAAAAGTGGGCCGGAGATGAAAGCGCTAATATATGTTCAGCCCCAGTCGTCGCTGATAGGCTGGAACGAAGTTTCAAATACGGACATACCCGAGTATCAGAAGAGTAATAAAGCGTTAATTTCCAGCCTTGTCTTTAGCCTCGAATCTGAGAAGAACTGGTAAAAAGTCTCCCGACCCCTGGAATTGGTTACCCCAGTTCATACTCTGTCGGCATGTTTCGATTAAGCGGTGGTCAGACTGGAAATGGAAATGACCCTGTTCCTGTTCAATCCTCCGACCACGATACGCCCAACCAGAAAACACCCGACACAACAACAACAACAACAACAACATACGCCTCTCCTTCCAGAGATGGCATTACTCCGGCCGCGTGGGGGGTTGGATGGCGGGTCCCGACCATGATGGTTGGACTTGTTTTCGCTGGTGCGATGTTTTCAATGGGCCATCACTTATACTACCAGAGCCTCGACAGCACCCGCGTCAACTCAGTCGACCAACAAACATGGGCAATTCGAATCGGAACTGGCTTTGCCTTCCTGATCAAATCCTTTTTGGTATCCGCTGTTGGTATCGCAGCGGTCCAAGTGATGTGGGCCACTCTCCGCCGGAAGTTTGTGAAGCTTCGCGGGATCGATGGAATGTTTGCCGTCCTTAGCAGTCCACTTGCTTTGCTCACACCCGATCTCTGGATGTGCGCGAAAACGCTCATTCTCCTTGCAATCATGTCATGGTGCGTATAAGATCTTTTCTTTTAGAGAAGAGCGAGTATTCACTTCCCAACCAGGCTTATCCCATTGACGGCTATTGTTACACCCGCTACCTTAACCATCGATCTCTTGACAACAACCAATATCACCCAGATGCGTGTTCCGACTGTAAACTTCATTGACTCCTTCTGGCATCCCTGGGCAACAAACGAAGGGGCGGGATTCATTGCGTCGCCCGCGGCCGGCATCAACCGCCTGTTTACAGCTACTTACTCATCTGCCGAAGTGGTCCCATTCTCTGCACCTTTCCCTAACTCGTCCTACACCCTAAAGTTCTGGGGTCCTTCATACAAATGCCAGAGATTAAGTGAAGCGATCGTGGAGATGGAGGGCTTGACTTTTACCGATCACTTGGGTGAAAACTATACTTCCTTGCAGAAAGTGTGGGATCACGAAGTTGGCAACCTAAGCGACACATTTACCACCTTGTACTCGGGGGCTGTCAGTACAGCTCTTAACAACACCTTTTTCGTGTATGCCACAGGAGCAAACCCCCTATGGAATGACAACGCCACACAACCAACCGAGCTTGTCTGCCAGCTTTGGAATACCTCATACGTGGTAGACCTGAAATTTACCAACGGTATCCGGAGCCTGACACCCGTATCAACGAAGCACGTGGCTCCCGCCAATTGGAGCTCAAGATCTGGCTCACTCACTACGCTAGGACCTCAAGGACCAACTGTCAATGGTGGTTTCTACATCACGCACTTGCTATTCTCTGACATCATCCAAAGCACCATGATTATCAGCGCTGTCGGATCACTGGAAACAATCTTGACCTCCTCGATGCAATCCGCCCAGATGACATTCACCCAAATTTCGGTTATGCAAACCAGTCTTTTCGGGTGTCCAGAGTTGTGGAATAGTTCCGACTACAAAATGATGGTTCCGGCAGTAGATCAGTCCACCACGCTTTGTCGGAATAAAACGTTAGCAAGAGCGATAGAAGATCTCTCCCACAATTTCACCTACAGTCTCCTCAGTCTCAACGCCGCCAACACCAGTGTACCCGTGACAATCTCGTCACCCCAGAATTTCTACGCCTACGACAGTAAGAATCTGCTGGCGGCTTATATGACTGCGCTGGGTGTCACTGTTGTATGTGTCATCGTTGGATTCATTGCCCTGAACCAGAACGGCGTTGCCCAGAGCACCTCGTTTTCCGGCATGTTGTTGACGACACGGAATCCCGAGTTAGATCATTTGGCCAAAGGACACTGTCTGGGATCTGATCAGTTGCCAGATGAGATTGGTGATATCCAGTTACGGTTTGGGGAGGTCGAGAGCTCGGAGCATTACAAGAGTGCGGCATTTGGGACGAAAGAATCGGTGACTCCTCTATCTAAGGGAAAAGATTATTACTAGGCAGCGGGCAGCTCTCTGTCATTAATGCAACATCATTTGTTTCGCAAGGCCGAGTTGTCAAAGATGCCCGTGACTGTTGACGAACCACCGTCAATCACCGATTACTTGCAGCATCAAGTGGCAGCACCCTCTGGCGAAGGGGTCCTTGCTCACAGTTTGACTGTGGGAAAGAGAAAGCATGGCTTTTGTATATCTTACCTTCTGTCTTCAGATCAAATGCTACTTTATGATTATATGTACTTATGAATCTTATCCAGTACCTCCCCATTAGGATCAAACTCGTCTATAGAGATATCAGGTGACTCTTTATATGTGTAACTATACTTTTGTCGGCACATGACATTGACCCACCTTCCTATTTCGGAAGCATATGTTCCTATCAATTTAAGTCAAAGACAAGTTCCTCGACTCTCCCCCTCAGTGGCTGAGCAGGTTGCTCTGCTAGCAATTGCTCCCCCCCTGCTATTCGGAGTTCGATCCCTCCGCCCACGATCAAAAAACATTCCACTTATGCATTCCCGACCCTTCGGGGTTGGGCATGGCCTAGGAATAGGTACTGGGCATGGGAGATCTCCTCTTTTTTTTTAACGAAACAAAAAGAAAAGTGGCATCTGTTTTCTGACGAAGGCCTTTACTCTGGATACAAGCCAGTCGAAATTAGTGCTACCAGGAATAGATAACATGGTAAATTACAGCAAATTCAGAGCATTCAGAATATCTAATAATACTGGACAGGTTATATATTATTATCTTGACTAATACATGCTCAAAGATATTTCTCACAGAGTTTGGAGTTTGAAAAGGGTCCGGGCCGTGCGGCTCTCACATAGGGCTCCGGCGGTACTTCGCAACCCCACAGGTGGGGGTATCACGATCCACATGGCGTAGCTTGCCCCGGATGGGCGTCCGTACGTCTCCAAGGTACCACAAAGCCGAGTGCATTTGTTGCCCGAGTTTACACTGAGGACCTATTGACTGGGCCAAACAGACCGCTCTTTCTTGAGATGTGAGCGTTGCCCGGCGGCCTTGGCGGGACCCCGCCTGCTGTCGTCCCCAATATTGAGTCACGTCGGTAATTTTAGCGGCATCTAGTGTTGACTGTCGACGTTCGAATTTACCATCCGCACTAGTACAGCATGAGACTAGTGATGCGCATTGGACTGAGTATGAGATATGTTTGTGGATACTGCCCTGAAGGATCTTCCAGGGGTTATAGGAGCTGCTTACGTCCAGCTTTGGGGCCTGCGCAATGAGGTGTCGTTTTCCAAAAGTGGCTGAAAATATAACAATCAGATACAGTATGCGCTTGTAAAATTCAACGTCCACAGTACTCGACATTGACCCCTATCTCTCCACAGCATATGCTTCCCCCATGACCCTGAATTCTAGAACCTCATACTGCATATTGACTTCAAGAATTCGACCCATCCCGCCCCCTGAATTCGACGCTTTCTTTTTACGTTTCCTCTTTGAAGATTTCCCCTCTCTTCTTTGGCCCTTCTCTGCATTTTCGCCATGTCCTCCACAGCCAAGAAACCGAACCAATCTCGCCCGAGCGCAAACCAGCTGAAGCATCTGTACTGGCAGGCCAGAAACCCGCCGAAGGATCCGCAAACTTTATACAAGGGAAAGACGGTCTTGGTGACCGGCGCCAACACCGGTATTGGATATCGTGCCGCGGTCAAATTTGCTGCTTTGGGGGCATCGCCGCTCGTTATTGCCGTCCGCACACAGGATAAAGGTGAGGCCACAAAGGCCGCCATCATCCGCGAGACCGGCAACGAGAACATTATTGTCATCCCTGTAGATCTTTCAACGTTTGATGCCGTGAAGGAATTCGCCGCAAAGCTAAACGAACAAGTCCCCAAGCTTGATGTCGCACTTCTCAATGCGGGTCTTGCCATGCCCTGCTTCACAAAAGGGCCTGGAGAGTACGAGATCGGATTGCAAGTCAATGTGCTCTCCACGGCGTTAATGGCCTTGCTTATTCTCCCCAAGCTCCGGGAAACGGCCGCCGCTAATGCAGCCCCGTCTCACCTCACGTTCACAACGAGCAAGGGCTACCAGGATGTTGAGGAGTCGTGGCTCGAGTCAGACAAGACGTTGATTGACCAACTCAACAGTGAGGAGGGATGGTCCGACCAAAGGCACTATTTGATGGTCAAGCTGGCTACCATGTTCGCTTTGCAGGGTGTGACGGACAGACACAGCGACAATCAGGTTATCATCAACGCGGCGTGCCCGGGGTTCTGCAAGACGGATCTTGGCCGGAACTTCTCACTGGTATCTAAGATTTTCATGGGTCCAATCCAGTACTTCGTTGCGCGAACTGCCGAACACGGAAGTCGATCCCTTGTCAGCGCGACTACGCTGGGCCCCGAGAGCATTGGGAAGCTGTGGCAAGACGATGAAGTCCTCGAGTAAGTTTGGAAATTCTGGGGTAAGGTGGAAATGGAAAATGGAACCCCTGCTGACCCCAATGTTCTAGACCAAGTAAGCTGCAGGCCAGCGAGAGGGGCGCCGAATTGTACCGAGAGACGTGGGGCCAGATCTTGACCATCTTGCGCAATCACGTTACCTCCGAGGATGTCTGAAGAAGGGGGTATAGAAGTTTCGTGTAAAGTACGGCATTATACGTAATGCGGTATGAAAGAAAGATCGATTCTTAAAAATGGATATTTATACGTATTATCTATACTCAGAGTGTTCAGGGGCTCAGTTCTACTTTAAGATCAAAAAGCAGGAGCAAAACGAAAAAGGTCTCGAGGAGGCATTATCCGGTATGTGCATATATTCACTTCTCTAATGCTATATACAGCAAATCTAATTCTCTTAAAACACCCTAGAACTTCAAATCCTATCCCCTCACAGCTTAATCCACCTCCCCATCCAAGTTTCAACAATCTCCTTAGCCTCATCGACCAACCCAAGATCAAGCAACAACTGCGTAGTACCACGCACAGCCGAATCCAACGCCGAGAAGATCCAAGCATGAGTATAACTAGTATGCTCTCCAATAAAGATAGTCTTAAACTCCGTCTGATAATAAGCAGGCAAAAACAGCTCCTGCTGTCCAACAAGCGGACTAGCCCAAGCACCCGCCTGGTGCTGATCAACCTCCCAACACTGACGCTCATAAACACCGGTAAACTGCTCAGCGGCAATGTCACCATGTGCCTCGACCATCGCGCGTTGAACCATTGCAACATGTTCCTCCTCACTCAGCGCGGCTGTCGACCGAGCTGGCGTGCCTGAGATATACGACGCAAGGATCACACCGGGTCCAGTTGCGTTCATGGTGTAGGATGGGTAGCAGACGTTTCCGACACCGGGGACGTCGACTGACCCACAGCCACCGAAAATGGGCTCTTCCATGTGCTCCCAAAAGCGGGTCTTGTAGAGCAGGGAAATCTTGCACGAGGGGCTGTAGTTCATAGTTGAGATTGCCCGGCTCAGGAGAGACGAGTACCGCGGTAGATCCCACAGTCTGACTTTGCTGAATGGTGTAGCAACGACGGCGTAGTCATATTCCTTTGTTTCAGGCACCATCTGGAACAGATCGTCGCGCCATGCGACGGCGACTTTACCGGTTGTCTCGTTGTAGATCAGTCCGTCGATTGTGCGGTTGAGGGTTGTCTTCTTTGCGATGTGGGGGTAGAATGCGCGAGGGAGAGACTCCAGACCCTTATCGATGGTGCGCCATTTTGTGGCGGCGAAGTAGACGTCGTCATAAAGTTCGCCCCATATTGGGGAGTTGTCTGCGCCGGCGACGTAGTCGGTGATGTTGTCGTTGTAGCCCATTGCGTATTTGAGGTACCCGGCTTCGGACCAGTGGAACATACCGTCGTCAACGGCTTGCTTGTGGGCTTGGTACATGTTTGTTGCGAGCTTGCGGATTGTTTCCCGGTCGTTGAGTTTGGTGTAGTTCTCAAATGCGGATTCGGCCTCCTCGACGGCTATCTCGTTGGATGAGGGGGCCTTGTAGACTAGGGATGAGTTGGCGGCGACTTGGGAGACAGTGGGGATTCGGTCATTGGGAAGACGGTTGCCGCCAGATGCTGTGGGTACGTTGGGGCTGTTCTGCACGAAGGGGATGAAGTTGACCTGGAGATCTGGCTTGTCGTTGTTCATCTTGTTGAGGACTTGGGCGAGTTGGAAAACCATGCGGTGGTCTTGAATTTCGAGGGTTTCATTTGTATCAGCATAGGTGATGCTAACTGGAAATCGCATTGGTCCCATCTCCTGGTATTGATATTGATCAGGAGTGGTGTTGTTGAGGTATTTGGTACGAATACGACCACCGACTCGGCCGGATGATTCATAGATGTGCCAGTCATGGATACCAACAGACTCGAGCAGCAAACTCGTCATCAAGCCGGACATTCCACCACCCAGAATAGCAACCGAGGATTTCTTCGCTTTGGACACAAATGCATTGCTGTGTTTCTTTGACTTCATGTAAGCCACTCCGTCAAACCACGGTCCCATGGCATCCGCCACATCGGCGATACTCTCACGCTTCTTGACCGGTGACGACACCATGATGGGAGCAGAACGTCCGACGAGCGTTAATCCGGAGAAAGCATGCAGACAATTTGAATGGGGTGTGTCAGATGGTGTTGTCCAGACGAATCGCTCCGGTAGTGCTTCACGTTTCACGAACGTGCTCCCGATCGAATGGTGACTCTGCGTCGGATCTTGGATCCCGCATTCCCCGTATACAAGCTGCAGGTGACCTTCGAATTGATCGTCCAGGAACTCGACGTGAATGTTGTGCAGAGAGTCGGCGGTTACACCCCCGGGGCTGTGGAACCGTATCACCTCGAAGTTTCTCCCTGCCACCCCGGCTAGGCTTAGGCCTGATAGACCCAACCCCAAGAGGGTATGTTGTAAATAAACCTTCATCTTTGATCCGGACAGGAGTGATGTGGAAATAAGATATGAGCGCTTGGTGATAGTTCGTTTTTCTCCATGGTTGCCAGACACGTTTTATATGTCTTTTGCTTGGATCCAGTATCTTTGGAATACTACCTAGTATCTCGAGCCATCGCTATCTTTGAACAGTGATTCACTGTAAATTTCTTATCTAGCGGTCAGAGTGAAGCTTTAGAAGATAGTACCTTGTATCCACGATATCATCCACAGGTACTATAGCCTCTACAGCTTGAGCAGTATATCATCCATAGCTCGCGCGGCTGTTACGTAAAAGCATAGAACGTCCTACAAGCATTGTATTAGTAATTCATTTCCATCCAACTAGAAGTTCTGGATTAGTCGAATGCAGCTGTCAGTTGTCAATGTATCTTATCAAGGCGGCTTGTTCCGACGCTATACGTTATCTTAGACCGGGGTGTTGACGCTAGTCCCGGGGGCGCAGTCCATATTGATCGCGGGGAAGAAGATTTCTTGACAACGAAGATATGAGTTTAATTCGGATCGACAATCTTCAAATTGTTATCTGAATTGGTAACGATGCAAGTACGGAGACCGGAACAGCTCGGCGGAAGAGAGTCTTGGCGCGCCCTTTGAATACATTCTAGAAAGACTAAGGTGCATAGTCCGGTAAATACCATGCTAAGACTGGAGCTAAAACTCTTAGATTAGGTATTTGATGATATCGCGAGCCGCTCCCCTCCAAGGTTGTCTGCTATAATTCGTCTTTCTATCTCTACTCCAGAAAACACCTTTTAAGATGATACTTTTGCTTTTGAAGAGCGAGCAAAGTGGGAGAAGGGATTGTCTCAACTTACACTATTCCTTGGAGGCCATGCAATTTGGATATGTTCTCAACGTTCCAATAGACCTATCTCCGAGGGCGTTTTGTGTACATAACTTTATATCAAGTTCCATATTGAAGAGTAGAGATAACACTAAATTAAACCTGTTGAAGCCACTAAAAATAAGTGTTGTACTCGCATACTAGTACCTATTCAGGTCAGGCTTTAACTATTTAGGAATGCATATGCGGATGAATTTGATGGCCAATGCCGATGTGTACGGAAATCCACTCAGCCACCGCGGGGGAATATCGGAAGGAACCGTCTATATCACGTGATACATTTCTATGATTTTACTTGGCACATAAAGAATTTCTAATCAACCATCAATACAAGAATCAAACTTATTGAAAATTGACTAGAATGGAATCCTGGCCAAGAGACTTTCCAACCCAATACAAGCAACCTGAGAGCAGTCATCATAAAAACACTCAGCCAAAATATCTCGAATATCATCCAAGCCAGTTTGAACACCAAGGCAATCAAGCGTGAATCTATGACTCAGGAAGTAGCATCGGAGTTTACTACGGAAGACGCTTCGTTGTGGAGTCTCCAATACCATCTCCGGGCCCAGTTCTTCCAGATCACCTAGTAGGGAATCAAGAAGATCGAATTGGTCGCAGACCTCCCAACAATTCTCCATGCTGAAGCCATCCTCTTGTAGTGTGTGGATTATACTCTGCATAGTGACTATGAAGTCTCTGTATGCCTTGTTGAAGCGTCGCTCGAGATCCTGGCCGCCTTCGAATGGATCCATATCTGGGAGAAGGAGATATTTCTCCTAAGGTCCTCTATGAGTGGTAAAAGCAAGTTTTGCACAAGTTAAGAATGTAGGGGCGGGATGGATCAGTAGGAATCTGATCTAACAACAGCTCTTAAGAGTGGAATTGAGGCTGTTTAAACCCTTCCAGTCAAATTTAAGACTCATTAGAAAGATAGTGGTTGAAGACATAGAAACTGATAACAGTCAGAAACCTCATTGTTAGGATTCCTTTTTGTGGTGTTCGGTCAAACTCTTAGATCGGTCTGAAAGGAAGAATTCATTGTTGATAGATGCAGTTGGGGAATGTAGTATATATAAGACAAAAGCAGTGAAAGAAATAGAAACAATCTCAGGTTCATCAAAGACATGTAGATTATAAACGATATAAACGCTAAAAAAAAAAACAGAAAGGGTATATACAATCAATCACAACATATCGTTGTCTCCTCCAATTTTCGTGTCTCATCCTGCACGTCATCTATTCCCACTGTGACAACCATCCAATCACATAAGAACTTGCCCAGTCCCGCACCGATAAAGATGCAAATGATCACATAGACATTGAAGTACATGGCCAATAACATGGTGATATAAGCCCCTGCAAAGGTGAGGGCATGAATCACAGACCTCGTCAACTGTTGTAACGGCGTCGCGCGAAATGTCACGGCCGTTCTGCCAGATTCATATTTCTTGGCAAACGTGCCGTGCGCGGCTTGGCGCTCAAATTGGCGGGTCAGGAAATTGTCATATTCCCGACCAATGCGCCGAAAGAATTCGACCAACACAACCAGCAAAATTGTGCCAATACATGTCGCTGCAAACATGCCATTGTTCTTGATCTGCCATCCAGTGGAGAGAAAGCAGGCATCGATGGTGTGAAAATTGAACAGCATCTGGCCTTTGGTTAGCGAATCCACTTGGAGCTCCAAATGTCTTGGCACCCACCGAGATCTTGCAGCTACTCTCACTGCTGCTATGGTCCATGCCCTCCATCTTGACTGGTGTTCTGGGGAATGCGAGTATGGGGATTTGAAGAAATGGTGCGTCCGATCTCAGCGCTCGAGGCCGATGGTCTTATAACCTGGTGGCCTCTCTCCACCTGCGCTAAGGCGAAGTGGAGAAACCCAGCGATGGCGTGGGAGAAATGTGCTCAAATCGCCTCAGATGCGAAATGGCCACATTAAATTTGCAAATTGGGACTCGTATGATGGTGTTACATTAAAAGCTCGTGGGCCTTTTCCCGCTGGATCTTACAACCTCTTTTGCACATCGTCATGACCAGATAATCCGACCGGACGCAGAATTCTGTATATTATTGACTTGAGCTGAATTGTCACTCGAGCTCATCGAAAGTGAGCTGAGGCTCATACTCAGAATTCAACCTCACACCACTGCATAGCGCAGTTCAAGACAAAATGTCGTCCTCGAAATTGGATGTTCGCCACATCCAAGATATGAGCGCGGCGACAGCATTAGAGCCTCATTGGGGATACTACGATCGCGCTCTCCCTTGCACCAGCGATCCAGGGTCATGCGAGTATCTCGACGTTGTATATGAATCACATGACTTGGGAATGCTATATTCAGGAATTATGTGGTGTGTCATTGGCACAATTTTGCTCCTCTGGGTCATTCTGAACCAGTCCCATGCGCCGACGATATCACCAACGCTAGCAGCACCAAAACTAGCCGGGCTATACAAGGTCCGCCGCTCTGTTGTCTCATTAGCCCGGAAATATCTCCTACCCGATGCAGCTCGGCTGATCTTCGGCCGCACAACACGCCTTCAAGTGCTCACCCTCGCCTTATTGGCTGGCTACCTTCTCATCTTCAGCTTTGTCGGCATTCTCTACAACACCTGGGTGACGCCTGTCTCAAAAATGCCTGGCGTATACAATACCCGCAACAGCATCGGCCCATGGTCAGACCGCATCGGCACTCTGGCTTACGCCCTCACCCCACTCTCCGTGCTGCTGAGCAGCCGAGAATCCTTCCTCTCCCTCATCACCGGCCTGCCATACCAGAGCTTCAACTTCCTCCATCGCTGGCTGGGCTATATCATCTTCGTGCAAAGCTCCCTGCACACAATCAGCTGGTGCGTCGTCGAGCTGCGAATGTACCAGCCACAACCCACCGTCGGCATCGAGTGGGTCACTCAGACATACATCGTCTGGGGCATCGTCGCCATGATCCTCCTGCTCCTCCTCGTCGTGCTGAGCACACCGTGGGGAATCAGACTCACCGGCTACGAGACCTTCCGCAAACTCCACTATATCCTCGCCATGGTCTACATCGGCGCGTGCTGGGCCCACTGGAAACAGCTCAAATGCTTCATGTGGCCATCGCTGATCTTCTGGTTCCTCGATCGCGGCGCTCGCCTCGTTCGCACAGCCCTGCTACACTACCACCCCGATCACTCCGGTACTCTCGGTCTCGGCTTCAAGCCCGCCGATGCAACAATCACCCGCTTCCCGGACACCGAACACGGAGACGTCATCCGTCTCGACTTACAAAACAACCAGGACCCCTGGTCCGTCGGCCAACACTACTATCTATCCTTCACGAAGTGCAGCATCTGGCAATCCCACCCCTTCACACCACTCAACCTCCCAACCGTGTCAAAGGGGAGAGTCCAACACTCCTACATCCTCCGCGCGAAAAGCGGCGAAACAAAAAAGGTCGCCGACCTCGCTGCCACAGGCACACCCACAACACCTGTCATCCTGACCGGCGCATATGGCGAGACCATCTCCAGCCACTTAACACCAAGCACCAATATAATCTGCATCGCCGGCGGGACCGGCATCACTTACGTCCTCCCCGTCCTCCTACAACTCGCCCGCGACCAACCCTCACCAGACCGAAAGGTCGAACTCATCTGGGCAGTCCGCCACACAGCGAACACCGAATGGATCGCAGCCGAGCTGGATCTCTTACAGAAAGCGCGGAATATGCTCAATCTCGAGATCCGCATTTTCGCCACCCGGGACACGGGGAGCAAAACGCCCTCAATCGAGAACTCAGATGAGGAAAATTGCAATCTGGAGATCCCGAAGAGTGAGGAGAAGGTCGTGCAGGTCTCGCCTTCCAAGTCTGTTTCTGCGTGCTGTGGATGTGAGAAGCCTGCTGCTGTTGAGCGGCTTGGGGGTGCTTCGGATGATATCAATAGACATCCTGATCTGCCGCGGTTGGTTAATGATTTCTTGGATGATACCGTCCGTGGGCCGACGAGCGTCTTTGCTAGTGGGCCTGGTGGGATGATTAGTGACCTTCGAGATATTGTTGCTTCTTGTAATTCTGGTGGGAAGGTTTGGAAGGGGTTGGAAAGGTTTGATGTTAGGCTTATTTGTGATGATCGGTTGGAGTGGTGAATGGACTGAGGAGGACTTGAATATATTTTGCAGCTGGCTGCATTTGAGATTATATAGCCATCAGGAGTGGATTCAATGTATATATTTAGCTTGATGAATTCTATGTCGTACATTCTATCCCCAGAGGAAATATGCGTGTAGAACAATATAATACATGGGTCATAGGCTCTTGGTATCCCTTCAGGTCTGTCCGAGTCCAACAATATGGCTCGGCATCATATCATACATTGTAGCGAGATGCCCGGGCGATTGGCACATACATGTTGTGAGACACGACTTGGACCTTCGAACGAGCAAGAACCAAACATCTAGTTTCATCCCAGAATCATCTCGCAAGTAATGAGGTGGTTAAGCAATAAAAGAGACCTATCAGGACCAACCAAAAAAAAGGGGGGGGTGGTCTCCCATGCCCAGTACCTATGCCTGGGCCACGCCCAACCTCGAAGGGTCGAGAATGCATAAGTGGAATAGTTTGATCGTGGTCTGCGCGAGTTGAACTCCAACTAACAGGTGGGGGAGGGGGCAATTGCTAGCAGACTACGGGCGACTAAGTGTGCCACCTGGACATTCCTCTCTTATTGGACACTACCTGACCAGAAGCTACCATCGCCTTCTCGGAGTATATATGGCATTTTCATTTGTATTTGTATACTAAGAAAGGGGCTACCTAAGAAGTTAAGGCCCGAGAAGCTAAGGAAGGGTAAGGAGTATACAGCACACTGTATAGTTTAACACTGTGAACTATGTAGGCTTAATACTAGATCTTATCTGATCTTTTTACTAGTCTTTTTACTAGTCTTTTTACTAGTCTTTTTACTAGTCTTTTTACTGGTCTTTATACTACGATTTTATGGCTTCTTTCTAAAAAAGGAATAAGGCTAACTTATCGTATAGAATTATTAGAGTATACATATGGTAAATAAGTTAATAGAATTTTGACTAGAGACTTTATTTACTCCTCGTGCTAGAAAGTGAGGACTAAATTACTGGCAAATTCATCCAATGAAAGAGTTGTGTCCAGGTGGCACACTTGGACGCCTGTAAGCAGACATACCCACTCAGCCACTGGGGGGGGGGGGAGTCGAGGAACTTGCGTTTGTCTTAATTTATAGGAACATATGCTTTCGAAATAAGAAGGTGGGTCCATATGACATCACATGTTGGTACCTGAATATCAATTCCTGCCTGCAGATTCTAACACTCTAAACATCTACTTTGCCTGACCGTTGACATTGGCATCCAGCCCAAGTCCACCACCAGGCAAAATCATCCCAGTCCGATCAATGAACGACCGCGCTCGAATATAAGGGTCCAACTTCCAATAGTTCACGCGGAACTCATCGATAACAGCATTCCGTCGCGACTTGATCTCTTCCACCTTCGATACCTCTTCCTTCCCATCAGCCTGCGAGCTGGCAGAGATCCACGCTGCTGTGGCAGTGATTATCCGGATACCGATCATCATGCGGTCATACATGAGCGAGTCGCGCGTCTCAGTGTCCTTCATGATCGCGTTTTCATCTTTCACGGGCTCCTCGTATTTATAGCTCCAGTTTCCATCGCCGGAGAACTCTTTGGGGATCTTGTTGCGCGGGATAAACTTGTCTAGGTCGGCGACTGACCGTGTGAAATGCACTTTTGATGCGACGACGGGGTCCATCCAGCCGTGGATGAGTCTCCAGATGCCTGGTGAAAGGTGACGATGTGAGTGTGCTGTGCAATCAAAAGGAAAGATTTACTAGTGGAGTGACTTACCAGAGAAAACCCAGGGTGCATTATGGATGAGCAGTTGCCCCAGGGACTCGGGGTAGTTTGCCTCGAAGCATTTGAGGATGAACTTGACTGGAGGGTAGTCCTGCGAAGGTCAGTACACGGTCAATCGCCTCGATAGGCTCACTATGGTATCCTACCATGTTTGACAACCCGAACCCGGTCATATCGAAGACAATTGTCTGTGAAGATGTCAGCGTGTCTCAATATGTTAACAGCCAGGTCAAACATACGCCCGTTTCAACCGGAGGAACCACGATAAGTCTCGCTGACTCAATCATATGAATAATATACCGCTCGAGAGTTTCCTCACTCTGAGCACTTGGCTTGTGAATCTTCACTCGAATATAGATAACAGGCCGGCCCTCCCTGTCAAAGCCATGAAGGAAGCTTTTGCCCGTCCTGAGTTGATTCATAAAGTCGGTACCTCCCTTCTTCTCCTTTGGGGTAGCGCTGGCGTTACGGGATTGCTCCAGAGCATATTCTTCTCCCCGGGGCAGAATCCCTTCATCAACCTCCGCTTCCTTTCTCCACAGGAAGTTCGACGTCATCATCGAGAATGCCTTTCCGACATCCCATTTCCTGGCGCGCAAGAATCGAAGCAATAAGCTATCCGGATGTTCCTGCTTGATCATTTTCAAGATCGCAAAGCACATTTCCTGAGGCGTCAGCCTAGAGAGGATCTGCTCCATGGATTTGATTTCTTCCTCATGTACGCCTAGCTCTCGGAGTCGCGAGAAAAGGGAAGTGAAGTGCGCCGTGGTGACCTTTCTGTTGGCCATTTCCGAAATGATAGTGTCTTTGGCATGTTCATTCATGAGCGAGTCCACCTTATCGAGTGATTTCTGCTCTTTATTGTCGGAATTGCTTTCCGTGATTGTTTTCCCATTGGTCTCGCTATTTAATTTCACCGGTGCAGTCCCATTTGATGTCTCTCCGGTGGTACCTTCGCCCTTCAATGCGCTAATAATAGCTTCCACAGTCGGCTCATTGACCTTGTCCAGAGCAGCAAACAGCTTCCCGGGTGGTCCCTCTGGAATGGGGACATCATACACAGCCGACAGTACAGTCGCAACGGATGTCAAAATGATGATCCAAAGTTCGATCACCTTTCCTTCCTGGTCAGGAGTGAGGTTGCCGAGGTGCCCGGGCGCTGGGTCGGCAGTAGGAGACATGACGTGAATCGTGGATAGAATGTAGAGTTGATTTGAGGAAATCAACTCACATTTTAGTATCAACCCTGCTGGTGATGTGGTCTTGTTTAATCCATTCAACGCTTACGGGACCACATGAACAGAATTCCAGCCTCGGTCAGCCCCGGATTCACGGGCGAATCAAATCGATACCTCGGTGTTCGAGATCGGTCGATCGTTTTATTGAAATATAGGCGCTTGGGCCTCTAATCTCTGGGGATCTTGAAACAGGCTGAACGTGAACGGACCTTGGAGGGGAATGGCGATCCCCCGCATTGCGGAGAAGATCGCGCTGGTTCGTTTGATTTCGCAATTTTGGGCTTCGAATAAGCGTGAGATCTTAGCCTATGACTGTATTTCTAACGCATTTGCATATGACGCTATCCAAACTAGGTATGCAGGTTGTCAAAGGTGTGGCACTGCTTAATCATACCTATTGTCACCAAAGGCACTCATTGTTTGACTATCCTCGGTTATTCCTAGTAAACTTTCATCGAGAATATTCATATGCATTCTTCAAAATACAATAGTTTTTTTGAGAAATTACATCTAATTATGCCGAAAGACTGGATGCCGGAAACTAGCTGCAGGATCGGGGGTTTCCACTGATCTCTCTCCTTAACACCCAAACTACCACTTAATGAAAGTTGACGTAAATCTGTCGAAATACTCTTATGCTTAACATATGTTACCAGTATCTTAGATAGTGCCTATTTGACGCCTTGAGGTACAATTTTCCTTTTAGCTTTTGCCAAGAGAGGTGCAGCGTAACGTGACTTGTCACGTCTCGTGACCTCTCCGTTTGCTCATGGAGTAGATGTTTTACTGAAGATATTTTCTCTTATTTCTACACATCTATAGGATTATCGCAAGGCCCCTTTCTTCCAGTGTATCTAGACCTAGACCTACAATGTAAAATGCCCAAGCAGCTGCGCGCGAACGTCTTTCGTCATTTCGAGTTTGATTTACCTGCCCTATTATCCCTTGCAAAGGAAATACGTGGAACCCCTGCCGTTGTGATCAATCCCAAACTCCAAAAAGTAGCAGTTGGAACTGGGTCATATCTATTTCCTTCGAAGATGGGATTGAGTGGATAATGTACAATCTAAAACCAAGTGGAAAATTAATGTCTATGATATCAAAACCCCCAGAACTGCCCCCGACAGAACAATTGGCACCATAAAAGAGCAGCAGAGGCCGAAGAAAGACTTCTCAGCGCTAAGTTCCCCTTCAACCTCCGCTCGTGGGTATGATATTCCCTTCTCTGTGGTGAGCAACCTAGACTCTCTGGAGTAATAGGTCGGGGGATTGAAGATATGAGCGATAGGTACCCAATTGTTGACAATCGCCAAAAGGAACAAGTGCAATAATGGTGGCCAGGCAATTGCAGTGAGCAGTTGGAGAATTGTCGATGCATCTGCGGTGATAGCTGCCCAGACCGCAAAAGTCATAGCTCCGAGAGTCGCAATAAACAGAGAAACGTTCAGCCAAGCACCGCTTTGAAGAGTATCTCTGTATGCCTTTTGAAATGACGAAATGGATGTAGCATTTTCGCTTGAATTTGCGGTGCTTCCGGTAACAAAAGATCCCTTGGGCTTGCTTCCGAGTAAGTGGAATCGTACAACGGCGTACAAATGGGCTATTAACACAACATATTAGGATAAGAATTCAGGTTCCATCGGATATGAAGTTTTCAAATCAAACTTACCAGCAGCAAGCCAACTGTTCTCTGCATGTGCAAAGGGCTCAAATAAAACACCCGCATGCGCACTTCGAGCCCAATCATATGCCCATGTAGATGCAACATGCACGATGGCTAGAACAAGCTGAAGCTTGACCTCCAACGCTGATCCAGCAGGAATGAACCCACCATCAGCGACAAGAAGAAAAGGGAGAGTAACAAAGCCGATTGAATAGCCCACAAGACCTGCCATAATAGACAGTCCTCCAAGAGCAATATCCCAACGCAAATGCTCCGGAATTGCCTTATTGGCAGAAGGGAACAACACAGAAATCTGCTGAGAGTGTCCAATATGCCACCGATTCCGCTGTTTGAGATGTCCAGCAAGAGAAGTAGGAACGAGACCGAATTGCAAAACCTCTTGTACCTGCATCGTGCGCTTCTCCATCCCCCGTAAAATCAGCGACAGTTGCCAATCCTCCGAGAAAGAATAGGTCGGATATCCACCCGCATCGAGAATCGCGTCGCGCCGGAAGACAGCACCTGATCCCGCGTCTAGTGCATGACCGAGAAGATCGAGTTCGGTATTTTCACACGTGTAGAAGTAATCCCGTGACTGAGAGAGAGGATCACCGCGGGGTAGGTTATAGAAATACTGTCGTGTGGTCAGTAATGCAGCCTCCGGGTCTTCAAGGAGGTGTGGCAGTGTTGCGCGTAGAAACTCTGGCATGAGGATGGAGTCTGCGTCGACGACTGTGCAGAATTCAGGCGGGTCTTCGGTTTGCAGGGAGAACAGGGCGTAGTTGAGATTTCCTGCTTTGGCGAAAGATTGTCCGGATTGCTTGCCGCGGGTGTGATAGGATAGGTGAGTCCATTTCGTGGTGAGTTTTGCGATTTCATCGCGCAGGTCACTTGATGCCCCGTCATCCAGAAGTCGCACTCGGAATCGGGAAGCTGGGTAGTCCATCGCACATGCTGCTCGGACTGTGTCTAGGATGATTTCGACTGGCTCACCGCAGCATGTGACGAGCACGTCGACTCTGGGCAGGTTTTCGTTGCTGCGCAGTCTCTTGCGGTTTGTTTGATGTGGTGGGGTTGTTGTTGCGGCTAACGACAAGCGTTGATGGTTCAAAGATATTTCTAGCAGGATAAGCGGCTGTACGATGTTCTTTATTGGAAGACAACTTACGAGCAAACAGACCCTCGACTCCGAGCATCGCCCACATCTTCCATGTTCGCTCCGGGGTCGTCAATGTGAAGAAAAGTCGGACTGTGAAGTAAATGTAGGTAGTCCATATTGCTGCCTGCGCTATATGGTGGAGGTATTGCCGGTACTTCTGCGCAAACAGGGTACGATCATCAGGGGAAAGCTCCTCAATGTCATAGACATTGTCAGGAAACATTGAAGCGAACTTGATGCTGTTGAGTTGTGTTGTTGTGATTCTGTTGCATATTATATAGATAGTTTATTTTCTGCGGGCTTCGACTGAGAATGTTGAGAATGGTACAAAACACGCTGTCTTCGATTTTACAGGGATTTTCCCTGGGTTTTTAAAGCAAAAGCTTTGCCTGCCAGAATTAAGGGGCGTGAATGTATTCAAGAGCTATCTACAAGCCCCATTTGCTTCTAGAACTTACTGTGTCTATTTATACTATCCGCACCAGGACTATTGCTGCCGAGGACCAATTAGTGTGCGCCATGGTATGGATTCTGATACCGCTAACCCGAATTGGTCCTGAAGTGTAAGTGGAGCCCTTTCCTCGGTATCCGATTGGTTCCCTATTTTCTTAAATCCGAGATCCATGGCATCGGGAGACTTTGTCAGCGGCACTGCTGATTCAAGTGACAGGTGCCATGTTTGTTAAAACGTAATCATTCCAATGCTGAACTAACACTGCTACCAAGCACTGCTTCCACTGATTTATCAACACACAGCTTACCACCGTCTATAAGTAAGGATTCGATGCAACGAAAGCTGATCACAGTAAGCACTACGAAACAGACAGTGTGAGCTCTCAGCACCATGGATACATGGCCTCGGCATTTTGATATTCCAATTGCACTTGACTCAGGGGGGCGAGAGCATCGTTCTGGCATATATCTCTGCGACCATGAAGGTGTCATCCTTCAATGAAGTCATTCTCCGCATGATACTTCGGTGATATGGGTTTTACGTGGATTTTCGAGTGTCGATGATACTTGTCAATGTGACCAGCCTCCTGGATAAAGACACAGCATTAAGAGCCATCGTCTTGACTGTTATAACTTTGGGCGATCATAGATGTTGCCTTCATATATTCATATTCTCAGTCGACGCATTGCCCGTGTCTTTTGCATCGGAAAGCTTTCAGACTTGCAAATTTTGATGATTATGATGCAATCACCAGAAAAAGACTAGAAGGTGCGCCAATTCGATAACGATAGGTCAAGAGCTATGATAGTGTTGTTGCCAATTCCATGCCAGCAATACAGCAGTAAAGAGCCAAATTCACGTTATAAGCAATTAACCATGGATTAGTTCGTCAGTTCTACCCAGGGGGATTTCGAGGCTTGTTGTGCCTCTCAAATAATGCAGTGCCCGTTGAACAGCAAATTCAGGTTAGCTGGGGGACTAGAGGTGATATAAACAAATTAAAAAATCATGGCGCGGCGTTAATCATTCTTTGCATCCCTCATGGCAGGCAAGGCATTCATAGTTACATACATGCAAACACATAATCTAGGCATTAACACGTGAGTTGGGTCCACCTTCCCTTTTCGGAAGTACATGTTTCACCAGGTTCCTATAAAATTAAGACAAACACAAGTTCCTCGACCCTCCCCCTGTTAGTTGGAGTTCAACTCGCGCAGCCCACGATCAAAAAATTATTCCACTTATGCATTCTCGACCCCTCGGGGTTGGGCGTGGCCTAAACATAGGTACTGGGCATGGGAGAACCCCCTTTTTTTTTTTAGTAAAAAGGAAACCGAACGCATCAAGGGAGGCCAATTCCTTTTTACCCTTCGCCATTGGGGCCAAACGGTCTTAGCAAAGTCGGTGGTCACAAGCAGCCGGGTTGGCAAGTCCTCCCAATTTATGGTCGAGGCAACTGACGTTCCGAGCAACGAGTGAAATGTCGACTTGAAAGCGGTGGAGGACTTTTCGAGCACTCCAGTGCGGAAAAAAGAGTACAGATCATCATGGATTTGATGCTGGTCTGGCGTCATTAGCGGAGGCCTTTGGACCTCCCGCTCAAGCTCAATTTCCGGAGCAAGTTGGCGTTCTTGCTCCTCCTGCAAAGCGGAAGAATTGAATTCGAGACTGTCAAGCTCTTTGCACCGTTCGGAAATCAATCCCAAGTTTGGGATTCCATTGTCTAGACAATCCAATGTCGAACTTGCTGCATGGCCAGGTCGGTAGCGGTGTTGGAGACTCTGACTTTCCGTTTCCAGAAAGCTTTTGGCTTGACTTTAGGAAAGCCCGGCGAAATAATCTGCGGACGTATTCCCCCAGATAGCTCGTTGTCTTTCAAATCTTTTGCCTTGAACCGCCCAGATGGGCATTCTGTGGCGGAGCTCCGTCCATGTTTCTGAAACAGCCCAGCGGAGGACATCCGAGACTGTGATCTCGGAGTTGGTATGCTTGCCACTGAGTGCCAAAATCTTGAATTGGATGTCTCTTGGAATGTAGAACACCACAGACTGCCCCTTGCCGAGCTTCCGCATTCTCATGCAGGCTATAAATACGTTAGTGCTTGATTCATGAAACAAACGGAATTTAAATATCTTACCTTGGACTAACTTGTCCTTTGTGATGCCGGGCCCTAAGGTGACTACCGCAGGCTTCTCTATAGACATATCCTGATAGTTAAAGCTCACCCAATTATGTATGCGTTACAGCTATTCGCTGCGGCGGAGAGAGAATGGAAAAGCCATGATTATGAATACATGAAAAAGCAGGATATTTATTTACCCTTAGGTCTAGCAAACAATCACTCAGCCTGCTAGCAAGCAAGCAATTGGAGATAGTATCATCCAACGGTATGTAAATATATATATCGGCTTAGCATACATGTAAGGATATGTCTTGTGTCGTAAAGTCAATCTCATTTTAGCAGGAGAAAGCATTCAAGACTACCACTTTTTTATATTTTCGTGCAATGATCATTAGCATATTACGCAACCATCATGTATGATATTATCTTTCCGGGTATCTATGGTTTCCACTCGCTCATATTCTGCCCTCACTGGATATGGCCATAGTGGTTCAGGTTGGTTGAGAGATATATACAAAAAGGAAAAGAAAAAGACAAAAACTGAAAATTTCAACCCGTGCTAGGCCACACCCAATTCATGTTCGAAGCACTGAGTTAGCATATTTCTTTTTTAGGATGTAATTATGGAACGAGCAGATCAAACGCCAGCAGCTGGGAGTGACAGCGTGTTTGATCTGTGTGCGTACTCAGTCACTAGGAGAACTGTCGGCTAAAAGGAAGACGTGGATGTAAAACTTATAGGAATATATGCTTCCGAAAGGGGAATGTGGGTCCATATCACGTGTTGGTACCTGAGAATGCATTGCCTATATATAAAGGTTAGAATATAATATTCCTTGATTTTCTTTTAGAAAAATCTAGGTACGAAGTGTAGTAAGTAACATCAAGTCAATAAGATATTTAAAAAAAAATAATTAAGAAAAATAAAGGTGATATCTCCCATGCCCAGTACCTATGCCTAGGCCACGCCCAATTCCGAAGGGTCGGGAATGCATAAGTGGAATGTTTTTTTTTTTTTGGATCGTGGGCGGAGGAATCAAACTCAGACTAGCAGGGGGGTAGGGGGCAATTGCTAGCAGACATACCCACTCAGCCACTGGGGGGTGGGGAGAGAGTCGAGGAACTTGTGTTTGTCTTGAATTTATAGGAACCTGGGGAAACATATACTTCCGAAAAGGGAAGGTGGGTCCGCTAGGTATACCTTAATCACTTTCCTACGTCCACCTCGCCTTTTTCAGTTCAATTCGTCCTTATAGACAGATACCACATTCTCACTCATTGTCCCATTAGTCTTTACAAAGTCTTTCAAACATACGCTACTTTTTGCCATATCTTCCACTCTTTGGTCTATACAGCCACTGTCTGCATCCTGACTGACTGGTCAGTGCAAGTCCCAAACCGCAAGTCTTCACTTGAGATCATCAATGCCCACCTTCGTCGTCTGCACCGCCGCCGATTTCCGCTCTCAACCCTGCACACTACGAAAGTCTCAGAGAGAAGAGAAGAGATATGAATATGCGCTATACTCAGTCGGACTTGGGGGCGGAGAAAATCTGCCTGCTATCACCAGTTTTCCAGTACATTCCCATTCAACGGATCACCTTCGAGCACATCAATCATGGGCATCTTCCCCCACTCAAACTCGAATACGAACAAAGGCACTGCGCTGACTATCGGCTGGCAACTTGTACCCCTGATCGAATAACAGATTCACGGACATACCATGTCTGCGCTCAAATACCCCACGGCAATCCACACACACTCTTACACTATCGCCACCGATGGAGTGGGTCAGTCTGTCCTGAACTGATCTAAAAGCTCACCGAGGAGTCCGACACAAATGGATGAAAACAGCTCGACCGCACATTTGGCCCTCTTGCCTTTCACCCTTGATCCAATCGAGTTCAGTCGCCAAAACAGGAGGAGGGGCATTCACAATACCACCACTTCATGGATATAGGATCAGTTGAATTCGTTGATGCGTAGGTAAAGCTCAAATGGCATTCCCATCGAAGCGTGTGGGATTCATCGTTTTCGGACTATTCAGGTTAAAGCGCAGCTGTTTTGAAAAACCGTCTGCACGATCAATTCCTCAAATGACTTTCTGTCTGCGTAACTAGAGACTCTTCTCTTCGGTTGCACATTATGATCAGAGGGAATATCATAAAAGTCTGCTTTATCCAGTTCAGATTTGATGAGCGATTCGGCACATATGGGTCAATGCTCAAGGCCTTTTGTCTGACAGGACCGTGTTCCCCGGGGAACGGATCTAAAAATAAGCTCAAACTTAAGAGTTTAATCCTTGCCCGGTCTAGGCGGCTCTTCCCGTCAGGCGCAGTCTTCTATTTAGACATCAAACATATTTGGACAAGGCGTTCAAATGGGATAAGCGGAGGCTATGATTCTAGTCAAGGATCAAACATCAGTCCCTGTCCCCTGAGTTTTCAATGCCTACATGATCGAGGAAATCGGATTTATCTTGATGGAGAAAATACCCGGCAACCAGCTAGGTAAAATTTGGTCAAAATTATCCCGAATGCTAAAGGAGCCCCTCGTACAGGAGCTACGAGACTATGTACAGCAATGGCGCCAGATCAAGGGACCATTTTTCGGGACGGTCGATAACGGCCCATGCCAGGAGATCATTTTCCAGCACCCCTGGCATAACAAATTCTACGAATAGGGGCCATTTGCTTCCCGTAAAGAATTTAATGAAGGGATGGTGGAGGCTATGAATAAGTCTCCGCCCAAACTCAAGCTCGAGACAGAAACGGATATTCTCTTTGAAGAACTTCTTATGTCTGGAACTGACCAGGAAGAAGTCAAAATACTGACTCATGGCGACTTGGACCAGTCTAACATCATGATTCAGGACGGGAGAACCACAGGGATCATTGACTGGGGCGCTGCGGGCTATAGTGTGCCGGAGAGGGAGTACTACGCCTTGCGATGGCCAGCCCTAGATTCAGAGTGGTGCGAACTCTCTACATCCATTCTAGCGCCAGATGGATATGAATATTAGTATAACATCAACCGTCAAATGAAGCTATACACATGTATCTAACGGGCTCATCCAGATCTATGCACTTGATAGAAATAAGCTTAAACTTCAGAGTTTGAACCGGAGTGCCATTAGGCCCTGTCGGAGACATTATGTCATCATTTTTTGCCCGGGCGATGCCGAATCGGGAGCTCGGGACCGAGTTCAACCGGGTGGAGATCCCTCGGCGACTTTTGATATTTTTTCTTCAGGACCCTTTTCGCTTTACGCCCTGACAAATGGACCCATGTGTCAAAAGTGGGATCATTCTGGGGTGAAATATTACATTCCGTGGATATTTCGTGATTGATTCGCCTCCAAAATTAGATGGTTATGAATCTCAAAATTTTCAGATGATAAATCAATCTTCAACTTCCCCACAGTAGATCAGTACATAAATCAAGCCAGTCTCCCCCTGGAAGATGGAATTATTCACAAATATAATAATATTCATACCTAAATAACATCAAAATGACCTGGCCTGACGTTTCCGCTAAGCCCGCCGAGGGCATCTCATACTTCACCCCTGCCCAGAGCCCCCCGGCAGGCACAGCTCGCAATCCTCAATCGAGCGGAAAGCCCATTCCCAAGCTCTTCAAGCCTCTCACCGTCAGAGGAGTAACTTTCCAAAACCGTCTGGGTGTATGTACAATCCCGACCCAATATCTTGCAAAATTACACAGCTAACAATACTCCAGCTTGCTCCCATGTGCCAATACAGTGCCGATGATGGCCACATGACCGCCTGGCACATGGCGCACTACGGCGCCATTGCCCAGCGCGGACCCGGAAACATGATCATCGAAGCAACGGGCGTCGTCCCCGAAGGCCGCATCACTCCCGGCTGCGTCGGTCTCTGGAAAGACTCCCAGATCGCGCCTCTCAAGCAAGTCGTCGAGTTTGCGCACAGCCAAGGCCAGAAAATTGGTATCCAGCTCGCACACGCCGGCCGCAAGGCCTCGACCGTGGCTCCTTGGCTTGGCGGCGTTGTCGCCAACAACTCCGTCGGCGGTTGGACTGATAACGTCAAGGCTCCCAGTGCTATTCCCTTCGCTGAGGGAGATCCTATCCCCATTGCCATGACCCAGGATGATATCGCTGAGGTCAAGACTGCTTGGGTTGCTGCTGTCAAGCGTGCTATTGCTGCTGGGTGTGATTTCATCGAGATCCACAATGCTCACGGATACCTCCTTTCGTCATTCCTGAGTCCCGCTGCCAACCAGCGCACTGATAACTACGGTGGCAGCTTCGAGAACCGGATTCGTCTGTCCTTGGAGATCGCTCAGTTGACCCGTGATGCTGTCGGTGATGATGTTCCCGTCTTCCTGCGTGTCTCGGCTACCGATTGGCTTAACGAGAGCGTGCCGGCTGATCAGCACTGGACGCTTGAGGATACGGTTGAGTTTGCTCGTGCGCTTGCCGCGCAGGGCTGTGTCGATTTGATCGATATCAGTACTGGTGGTGTGCACTCTGCTCAGAAGATTACCTCGGGTCCTGCTTTCCAGGTTCCTCACGCTGCGGCTGTTAAGAAGGCTGTTGGGGATAAGATGCTTGTTGCTGCTGTTGGTATGATCAACAACGGAAACCTGGGAGAGAAGATCCTCAACGAGGATGATCTTGATGTCATTCTTGTTGGCCGTGCCTTCCAGCGTGATACCGGTCTCGCTTGGAAGTTCGCTCAGGACTTGGATGTTGAGATTGCCATGGCTGGACAGATTCGTTGGGGTTTCACCAGCTTCCGCAATGCGTCGGAGTATATTCAGCCCAACTCTATGAAGGCTTGCATTTTTGATTAGATTTAGATACACCAGCTGTTTGGCTTGCATTGCATTATATAGACCGTCTTTTTTAGAATAACGAAAATAGACTTGCCGTTTCTGCTTCAGAACTGTTCTTGACTACGAGTACAAAAATGATCAGTAGCGACAATGAACTTGACAAACGCGACGGATGTTGGCCTCATGTCCCTCGGGATTTTCCATATCGCCGTGTTTTGGTTGGCATCTCTTCTTCATTTCTATGCCCTCGTCTACCAGAAAAGTAATAGTCCAACAGGGAACACGAGTTTCCAAATTGAAAGACAAATTTTGAAATAAGAAATGCATACTTAGGCAGGCAGGGAGTCAGCGGTTTTAAGAAACATAGAGTTTAGGATGGGGCTGATGGTCTTTAAGAACACTTCAACTTCATGGGAGAAATTATTCGAACAAAATTATGCAATCAGTTCTGATGATTTATTTACTGTGCCAAGTCAACTTGAGATGGAAGGCTACATTGAATAGAATAATTGAAACGGAGAAGGTCTTGATTGAATTGAAACTAGTCTATAACGAGAGCTGGGATTAGTTTTTTTTTCAATTGGAAACATGGTAAAGAGTGCTCTGCGTCTCGTTGACTTGATGACGTTCGGTGCTCCAGCTCTATGACCCCTTCAGCGTACATCGAAAACCAGTTATATGATTCTCAACGGACGCTGAAGAGGCCATAAAACTGCAGATCCGAACAATCACCTAGGTCGTCACCGAGGTGAGGTGAAAATGAATCACCGTCCATAAAGCAGCCATGGCCTCAACAAAATGAATCCCCCTAGAATAACCAAAGGATATAAGAAAAAAAAACGGGACATCACTACCTCACTAAACACCCGCCGAGGGTTAAAGGGATGTCCAGTTCAGCAGATCTGCCACGTATCCGCCGGGGCTTTCAGCACACGGCTGCGACCCGTGGTGCATCAGCCTCCCGCTAGAAGGATTTCTCACTCTTTTCCCGGAGTGTTGGACTTTGTTCCAAGCCCAGACAGTTCCAGGTTTCCACTTGGTATTACCCGCAGGTGTAAACCTTGACTCGCTCCGTGCTCGCTGGACATCGGGACCATATTATGATGTTTCGCAAGCGGTTTCATAAAGGGGCCATTGCGGCTGGCCCTCTGGTATCTCGACAATGCTACTCCAACAAAGCGAAGGGGTGTTGATCATTGCTTCGACTTAGGATCGGATTGTTCGGCACAAAGAACAGTCAGCAGGTTCAAACCAGGATGGGGACCGGTTCTCCCCGTGCCTTCTTCCTTCATACAGTCCTCCTGGAAATTCTGCTGTCCTCCCGAAGGGACCTGCAGATGTTTCCAGTTAGATTATACAAGTCGTAGCAATGGCCTCACAAATCGTAAATCCTTTCGGTTCAGCTCTGATCAACGATTTTGGTGGATTGAAACACGGGTATGAGCCCGGTATTCGCTCCGTAATCCCTGAACGATGCTCAGATCGTTGAGTTGCCGGCTTCATGTACCTAGACGAATCCAAGCCATGAGAGCCCCGTAAACATCTTGAGAAAAAAGCTTCGGACTCCCTCTCTGATCACGCCGCATCTGGAGCAAGTGTCCACCATAGCTTCCCGAAGGTGTGCCGCGGGGACTTCGCGAGAAGAGCCAATCAGAAAGTAAATCGAGGCAATGTAACTCAAGACGAAAAACTCTTATGGGCACCATTCCCCATAAGAGACCTCTAGGATCCCACCATTGATGCGACGCCGCGAGGATCTCAAGCTAATGCGAGGGTTACTCAGCGCGCATCTCTGATGGGAGATCTTGACAATTGTTGGAAATCAATCATTTCAAGCAGAGATAGACAGGACGAACCCGCCTTTCTTTGCTGGTCACTAATGATGACGACAATTTTAACTCCCATCGCAGAGACGGGGCTTTGCAGCCACCATCCCTGTGAAGCACATCTTTGTTACTGATAACAAAACCAGCGGCATCACATAGCGATGCCCACCATCAGGTACTCGAACGATCCTCGTCGGAGGGCAGGACGACCGAGGGTCAAGAAAGTACCTTAAGATGAACGTCTCCATCCCAGTGAGCAGCAAAGCCATTCATCGGGATGGTAGGGGGGTGAGAGAACTCCTTCCCTGCAAAGGTCCAAAGAGCCGAGGGGGAGACTCAGGGACCCGCTACTTGGTGGACAAGACCAAGCAGGCACAGCTGGGAGAACTCTAGAGGAAAGAAAGGGGATTGGGAAGGTATTTATATTCGCTTGTGGACGCGTTCCAAGGTTTGCCCGCGGGCGAGTTAGTGGATTATCTAATCGCTCCACTCCCAGCCCCCTGAACGCGTCTCGACTTTAGGGCATTTTCATTGTCGATTGCCGAAGAAAGATTAGACAGGTCCAATGTGGCGCCTACGATAACTACTAATACATCTTCATATTACGTACAAAATACAGCTGAGATAGGGTGGTTTCGGGGGTGTTGAGAGTGTCAACGAAGTACATACTCCGTACGGAGTATACCGGAGTACTAGATGTAAAAAACGGTCGAGCTCGTAACCTTTTTGTTCGACGTCTAAGACTTTCTACCTCCCAAACAGTTAATGATAGCCAAGACAAGAGATAGAATGCAGACTTGGTTATTCCTTGCAAAGCGTCTGGTTCAGAGCCCAGACGCAGGTACAGTACATCCCGAATTAGGTGCCTTAATGCCAAGATTTTACCATATCAGGAATAGCCCCGGAATAACAATAGTCTTATACAGTATATGACATCCTAATTCTTTCACTGTTTCAAACTGAATGAAATAACCAGTGTATCATTCTTCTCGGCCATTCTGTAGTCAAAATTTTCGGACAATATTGTCTGTTTGCCGGCTGAAAATATTTTCTTGCGTCGCATGAACTGCGACAGAAACGGCGCCCAAAGAAACCAAGTAGTGAAGAAGATGTTGAAGTGAAGGGGATGGAAGTCGCAACAATCCTCCACTGGAGTTCTCGCAGAAATGGAACAGGCCAAATTTGTAGACTAAACTCGTTACATCCTACATGTAAATATAATGCTGACGTGGATACAAAGATACCACCCCATGACCAAAATCGGGGTTGGTGAGCGAACTTGGATAGAAGCCCGCTCCATGCAATCACTCAGCCCAACAACCTCCAAAATCCTTTCACGGACAGGTTTCAATGCTAGGAGTCTGAGTGTAGGCTTTGACGCCAGCCTATCTTCCATCGGGGTGTTGCACGAAACCACCCGGCGCCGCACCCTCATGGGTCATCAAGCCACAGTAGTAGACCAACGGGTGACCATGGACACCCTGCGCCTTGCCATCGTAATAAAATACGACACGCTAATCCCCGTAATTCCTGTTATTCTTGACGAGCGGGTACTCCTTTCGGTTCTCATCGTGCTCCGGGCAGTGAGCAGGGAAGTGCAGCTGCACATCTTTGCTGTTATCGTTGTCGAACGGATGTGAATAGCTCTTCGCGCCTCACGTCTCGGCAGGGCTCAGCAGACCCAGGTTCACGGCCTGCTTATTGGTGCTGAGATAAGGGTTAAGTGCTTGTCATTCGAATCTTCAAAGCCGGCAATGGCTCTCTTATAACTATTGACAGACTCACAAAGACTGAGTGAAAGTCTTACACCAGCAGTCACAGACTTACAAAAAATGGCGCCCGGAGAGACGATCGGCTTACGGAGGAAGCTTACGAATACAATGAAGGAAGTATATCGGAAATAATGTGCGAAATCTCTAGATTTCATATATATTGAATACAGAAGAACTATATAGGATAACTCTGATGTGGGCTACAGGCAAATCCAGGGGGAAAGCTGATCATGGCGGTCAGCCGTGATTCGCGTATCCACCTGCATAATCGTCGATGTATTCAGGCCAGTTGACAATGTGATATTTGAAACTAGGCGCTGTAATATATCGTGCATAATAACGGGATCCTGCATCTCAAGAGAAGCTGATATCGCGCAAGAGCTGGGACAAGGTTACATTATGATGCTATGATTTCTTTCTCTGGAGGCTGTGTATGGGTAAAAGCTAGTCCAGTGCCCTGTACGGAGTACATAGTTTAGTATCAAGCATTTGACCACTCCCACCTTCGCACATTACCCACTCACATCGTTCGTTTGTACACAAGGCTAGGAGGATTTGGGGGCGTCAGCCGTGAGAGTGAGAAAAGGCCCCCAAATTGGAGCACATCTCAGAAAGGGGGTGAATGGACTGCCCTATTAAGACCAAGTATGACGAGTCCAAAGACTAAAACATCTCAGGAAGGAAAGCATCAGCAATAGAATCTTGCTTCGGAATGCCATCAAGACCTGGACCCATTCGCTGATCAAAGGGCCCCCATCAATTCTAGTGGATATCATCTCTAGTGGTATCAATCCGCCTGTCAATCCGCCTGTTTAACTGATCGGGTCTCGGTGTGACGAAGGTTCTGAGAAGATGTATTGTCATTGCAGACCAGGGGTCAGCTAGTGATATCATCTCGACCCCAAACGCCACCAATGCGGTTGACGGGATTAACCGGCTTGGCGGCGCAAGGTATCTTGCTTGAGATGGACACGATTTTAGCCCGTCTTTTCGGCCAAAACAGAGTTGTACAGTTCGTCAAATGTCAACGAAATCGGGCGAGAAAAGACGATAGTAAATGCAGTGTGCGGGCGTGAATGGGCGTTAGACTGAACAAGTTGTTATCGTGTCGGGCATCTCGCTATTTCCGGTGCGAATTATGAAGCGGTTTTCCGCGTTCCTGGGGAGAATGGAGTGAAGTTTAGGGCAGGGGGTGATTGGGGTCGATTGGAATTGGGGCCGGGGGCCAATGTCGGTTTCCTATTTAGGAACAGCTCACCTATCCAAAAGTGAAATACTTTTTGTCCTAAACAGGATGATCGACATATCAGTCATAACTGGCTGCCTAATGATGTCACTCTCGGCGGCTATTGTTGCAACAGGAGAAATATACCGCGCATCAATCGTGGGGTAGTTGTGTCTAGTTGCCACTCTTCGAAGTTTCTGATATTGCGACCATTCCTTTCTTTCTTCGAACATAACCACCCCAGCAGCGCAGCACAGTTACTATTCGTCTCCCAAACACTCAGACCCAAAAATCATTCCTTCAAGCGCCCTCTCCGTCATCATAAACACCAGCATTCAACAAATGACATGCAAATCAGTCGAGCTCGATGGCTTCGGCTCCACCGCCAATGACGCTTGGTTCGACCAACACACTGCACCCATGGATGGCGAGGAAGAGACTGGGGTGCATCCCTATCAAGCTGCGGCTCTCAAAGCATACCTAAAAGGCGACTCCAAGCCATCCGAGACAGCTGCCACCATGACCAAGCCTCCTGACTCCGAGAAGAAGACCGACCTGCGAGATCGCGTATTTGGCATAATCGAAGACGCGCTTTTTGAGCTGCCCAAAAGCCATACACCCGCCCTCGTCGACCTGCTAAAGGAACTTAACCAGCTACCAGACGAAGAGAACGGCCAGCCAGTCTGGAAAGGTCTCATGAGCTTCGGCCACTCGTGGTCAGATAGATGGAAGCAGAGCCACTGGCGCAAAGTGTTGGCGACGTTGGATCCAGCCACAAGAGCGGAGATTCGCGCGGCCCACGTGCACCAGGCTTTTGTAGAAGCTTCTTGTGCAATGGCTGCTCCGGGACCAAATGCTGAAGATGGTCTCTTGCCACTGAGCTGGGGCTATGAGTGCATCTCCGAGGCGCTTGAATGCCAGCATGCAGTGTGGGACTTTGAGGTACCTGCTGCGGCGGTGTGGATCAAGGTAGCCGGGGAGAGACTCAGAGAAGGGGCGAAGAAAGGTGAGAAGTGCTGGGGGTTGGAGAGAGAGGGGAGGCTTTGGACGGCGGGACCGATGAGCATGGATCGATGGAGTTTCTGGTTGAAAAGACTCGAGGATATTGAGGAGATTGGCAAGATCATCTCGACGGCGGCGAGTGACGGCATACGAGATGCTCGAGCCTAGGGTGAGAAGCAGCCTATGGCTTAGCCTACGGACTTCCAACGAGCTAGAAGACACATTGCGAGATTTCTCATTGCCATGTCTCCCAAGTAGCGCAGTAGAACGTACCTTGACTGGCCGTTGCAGGCGGCCCTACGATCTCATACGCGAATAAAACGATAGCCGGCTTCACATTCAGGAAGCTCAGAACTGATAGGCCTTAATGGGGGCAAACCAATGGCAGGCTAGAAGGGGAATGCGCAATTGACCTTGTCATGTCCCCAGACCCACTGTAACATCAAGTGCGAAACGCCAGATATGGCGCCTCTAGACCCCATACAAGAACCTTGGTTTTCGCTATAGTCTAGAGATAAAATACGCTGTATTTATTCCCACATCGAGACTTAGTGCGCTTAGGCTATTTTGTTTATCGTGGGCTGCGGCGCAGTCGGCACGGAGCTACACCGGAAAGGACATGATAACGACCCGTGGCTTAGGCCGAAGTCCTATCAAAGTACAAAAGTTCTAAGCTAACAGATAAACGGGTCAATGGCCCGTGCATGGAATCAGCCTCCTTCCCCCCTCAGCAACATACAACCTTCAAGGCAACATGGTGCAAATCCGCCCAGCCAGGGAGGCTGACCTCACTGAGATCGTTGAACTCTCCATGGTGGCCTTTGATCCCAGCACCGACGCCATCACCCGCAACCTCTTCCCGCCCCATCTGCAAACACCCGAGCGGACCGACAGCGAGGCAATCCGACACTGGAGCATTGCGCGGAAATCGGCCAGATTGCACGCAAAGCGTTCCGTGATGATGGTTGCCTTTGACGATGTCCTAGGCAATGTTGTGGGGTATTCGATGTGGTTCGCCCCTGTTGAAGGGGACGAGGAAGAGCTACCACGACCCAAAAGGACGTTTGCGGGCATGGACCAGGCTGCATTTGCCGAACTGCGTGAGATTATAATGGAGGACGAGCGCGAAATTTTTGGTGAGAAGGGGGCTTCTGACGTATGGAGTAAGTTTGTGCTTTATCAAAGGAATGTGCAAACGAGGAGGAATTCTGACAGTAGCGCCAGATCTTGACTCTCTCGGCGTTCATCCGCAGCATCAGAAGAAAGGCATTGGCAGAATGCTTCTAGACTGGGGCGTACAGCAAGCAGCAACACAAGGAAGAGATTGCTACTTGGTTGCGACACCAGCTGGAGTTGCACTCTATCGAGCGGCTGGGTTCGATGCTGTGAAGACGGTGGATATTTTTGGCACGCCACATGTGTCAATGATGAAGCGCATTCTGAAGTAGACTACAATGGCAGTGAGAGTTATCAATATTTTGGGACATGCCATAGGTGTACTTGTACTCCGAGGAAGAGAAGAAGAGTGTATACTACTTAGGTACTAAATACAAACTCAGAAAATCAGAACCATGGAACGTATAATCTTCGTAACCACCCTGCTTTTTTGTAAATGCTAGACATGTATTTTGCAAAGTGCTTTACCGAACCTACCATACTACATACATATACCTAGTATATGTAGGTGGCGTGAAGTCATTTTTAACCTTTACTTATGCTGAAGATGGAGTGATAATTACCTTTTAAGCCTCCAAAGTCCTTTTGATTAAAACCAAATATTTATTTCAGGCAAATCCCAAATTCTGAGGGCTATATTCTTATCCATTAAGTCTCCAGCTGCTCAAGAGCTTCTCTCATACCAACATAAGGCTTTACCGACAGAATGGCATCCCCTGCACTCTTCGTCGCAATCTTAGCTTGGGAGGCCCGTGAACCCGTCTGAACCGCCGATACCCGTGGCCGGCGGATGCTATCCCAGATTTTCAAGATTTCGGGAACGCTGTTACGGTCGGAGGCATTTTCAAATAGAACGTTGAGGCCCTCCGCATCCTCAAAGGCCTGGTTGGCGCCTTGGGCTTGGTATGGTACCATGGCATGAGCAGCATCACCGATCAAAACGGTTCGGCCCTTAACATACGTGGGCAAAGGCTCCTGGTCCCGAAGTTGGAATAGCGCAACTTGAGGGGTGCGACTGGTTGACTTTTGTCAGCAAATCCTAGGATAAAATATGCTCACCACTCACCTGAAGACATGTTTCAACCACTCGGGGAAGTCATGTATTTCCTCCAATAGCTCTTGCACACTCCCCTTAGCGTTCCAGGAGTATTGAAGCTTTTCTGGGTTCTTGAGACTCGAGTTCGGGACCGCGCAAACGCAGTTCATGAGCTTATGCCCCTGGCAGGGATACATAATCACATTTCGGTTGCCTTTATCTCCAGCAGCTATAAGTGCTATGAAAGTTCCGTCGTCGTAGTTGTACATCGCTGGAATAGTTCCGTGCGTCGCGACGGTGTCCATGACGACATCCATTGGAAGGACAAATCGATACATTGAGAGACCGCACGGGACAGGCTCTGGATGCGAAGCCGGGATGACGGCTCCACGGACCTTTGAATGGATTCCATCCGCCCCTGGAAAGAGGTCAATTCAACTAACTCATCTTTTTAACTTTCAGTTTCCTTACTTACCGATGATTAGATCGACTTCGACAGAAGTTCCGTTTGCAAATTCAACAATACCAGCCTCCGGATCAACGTTCACCACATGACTACCGTATAGTACCTTGATAGCCTCCCCATCCCCATCACCGGTGACTCTCCGCAACAGCGCGTCTTTAAGATCCTGTCGATAGACAAGCCACATGCCACTATCTTCACCCCCATCACCAATCCGCGACTTGCTTATCTCCTTCTCGTGGATGTTGTAAGTCCGGTACCCGGCGCCTGCAACCCCACGAATCTCTTTCCTGTCAATGCCAAGCTGCTTGGCAATGGAGATGCCATTATCTCCAAGCCCGAGTGCCGCCGAAGTCTCCTGGGAGTCTGCATCACGACGCTCGTAAACAATGATATTGCAATGGTGATATTTGCGGAGGAATGCAGCAGCAGCGAGGCCGGCGATTCCACCACCTATAATGGCGACTCGAAGTTTGTCTGAGGGGCTGTTGGTCATCTTGGAGTAGGTTTGGATGCAAAGCAGCAAGTTATTGTATTTGAGTCAGGTCAGAGCGTATCAAAGAGGTAAGATGCAATATTAAATACCACTCGAATACGAACAATGGCAGAATTTGTAATCTGTATATACAAATCATCGGATCTTCGGCCTTTCCAACAAATTTTGCTTATTTGTACCCCGCGCGGGTCTCTGATGTCCTGTGGGGCTCCCCGGCCCGGTCCGCATAAAATGGAAATGGAAAAGATACAGTTGTACATATGTATCTCCCTTCTAATGAAAAGGGACACATTATACCAAGGCTGTGCTTTAGAGTAAGGAGAGGCAAAAGAAAACTGGAAAGAGGAAACGTAGTGGATCTGGCATCGCCAGATCTACAAAAGTGATAGATTGTTCCATATACTATTACGGTACATAGTATCACCATTATCTAATGATTTCATGAATATGATAGATATTATTGTCTAATATTATTCAATTCGGACATGGCCAGGGATTCACTGGTAGTACATTTCTCCTCCTTGGCTGGGCGGAAAGCTCCTCGCACTTAATCTACCTCCCAGTGGTTTCTATGCTCGGTGTTCGACTGGGGTAGTAATATCCTCCGCGCCTCCTCATCGATATCATTCTCATTGTCCCCTTCACCCTGCATCACCGGGTGTGAAATACGCTGGTATTCAGTCCTCCTGCTCGCAGATTCTGCGCCCATCCAACTCGTTCGATGGCCGGAAAGCCGGACAAAAGCTATCTGTACAGAGTTGCGTAATATCAGCCACCATACTATAAGCCTCACGGTGGCAGTATGCAGTAAGCTCACCTTCGCCGCAAGAACAAAAACTGCCGCCGCAAAAACCATCCAAGACGTACGCTGCTGGTGCTCTCTCCAACGGGTAAAACAACTCCTCTGATAGCCCAGTTGCAACTCACATGCATTGTCCCCGTGGTTCCGGTCCTTGAAAGGCCATGCCCTGTCGTGGACACTTCTGAGACCACAGCATCGGAGTTTATCTTGGATTGACCGGATCACGTCCGAATTCTTCGACTGGAAAAGTTCCTGCCATTTTTGATTCAGATTACAAGAGAGGGTTGTGTCAGGAAAGAGGTATGCAAGTGCTGCTGTAGCCACGATGGTCGATATGACTGTCTGGGCCTGATTTAAAATATCAAGTGTTGTGTTCCATCGACGATTGCGAGCTGTCTCGTTGTTCAAGCGGGTAGAAAAGATTTGCTGGGCCACTAGGGTGAGTAAAGTGGTCGGGGGAACTACGGTCGCGACGGCTGGAACCCATGTCGGTAAAGGAAGATGCAATGCGGAGGTGCGAGCCCAAGATATCCTGTTCCGTGAGTAGGTTATTGGTCACTATTCTCGTTGATTGCACGCTGGCTAGAGATGATGAAGAAAGTGACTTACGCCCCAAGGACCAAGGAGATGGCCCCTCCCTAATAGCGAGTTTTGTCAACAGAAGGCATTGCCAGACTGGAAATTCATTATCTTACCACAATAAACAGAATGTAGAAAAGCGTACTTATATCTGCCTTAAAGGACATCATTTCGAAGTTAGATGTTTTCAGGCAAATTCTAATTGAAGAAGAACCGGCGGCATATGAGAGATAAAATGTTTGCGTGTGGACGACAAAGGCGGTGCAGTCAGAGCACAATTGGTACTATTGCGGTATAGGCGCCAACTGCCAAAATCCTATTTCCAGTAAATGTTGATGCATTGGTGCCTAGTTTTGGCCTGGTTATTGACCGCTCCTTACACCACCCTATACAATGTAATATAAATTATTCATCCTAAAATGAAGCTTTTGATCTCATACACATGAAGATATCTGCATTTGTATGGGATGAAAGGCTTCAGTTTGGCACTTATAAACCGTCTAAAAAAGTCGAGATATCTCCATTTGTATGGGATGAAAAGCTTCATTTTTGAGAGTTATAAGTGCCAGCAAAATCAGGCTACTTTGATTATTAAGGGAAGTGTCAGAAATTCACTAACTAGTTATTTTAAATCTTCTAATTAACTAGTTACCGGTTTTAATTCAGGCCGCCAGGCCAAAACTTAGCATCAAGGCATCAATATTTACCGGAAATAGGGTTTTGGCAGCTGGCGCCTATACCGCTGCGTATCGGTACATTTCACACAACGCCTTCCAACTTCCAAACCCGAAGAAGCAGGTTATGCAAGATCATGGCCCAAAGAAGAAAGTATAAGAGTGTAGAATTCCCTCTAAGGGCGTAGATGAGGAGAGCGTGCCAAAGGGCATAGGTCGATCGACATCTTTGTGCTATTGTTACAGAGCTTAGCTAGAACGGTGAGATATGTACGTTCGAGTTACATGTGGCTGCAATACAAGCCCAGAAGAGACGTTGTAGGTATATCTTCACTTGTCCTCTTTCGCAATCACAAGGAAACCAGCGCACAGTTGTAGTGGGGATTTACGACTGTTCCGAGTTTCACAGAACGTCTGGCATCAGAGATAGAGGTCAATTCAGAACCATAATAGCATTATTCAACCTCCGAAAACAAAAAGCATCTGCTCTAATAAGAAATCATATTGCTCACAGAAATCACACTTGGGGACTTGAGCACCTCAGGGCAAAATCTCCTTCCCCTTCCAATCCCAACACCCCCCTCTCCCTCCTTCAGCCTCCGATGGCAACCCCACAAGAACCTCCAACAGCTTCTCAGCCGCCTGAGTCGGCTCCAACATCTCCCTACTTCCCCAATAATCCTTAGTAAAATCCGTGTGCACAGTCCCAGGGTGCAACGCCACAGAAATTGCCCTCTGCCCACTCTTCGCGCGCAAATGCAAATCAAAAGTCTTGGCCAATTGAAAGACAGCTGCCTTGCTTGCACGGTAGGAATACCATCCACCCGAGGCATTGTCGGATATTGAGCCGACTCGAGCAGCCATCATTGCGTAGATGGCATGTGAGGGCAAAAACAGCGGTCCTGGGGAGTCGATTGCAGAGCTGGTCTCTATTGTCGGGAATTCTGGTGACATCTTCAATGGGACGAACGGGGAGAGGTGCTTCATGAGTAGTAGAGGCCCGAGAGAGTTGACTTTGAAGCTGTCCAACGCATCGGCAGAATCGATTTTACTAGGTGATTTTTCTGCGTGCAAAACTCCGGGGATTGTTAATCCTAGCCTCAGTGGTGTGTTCGGATATTCCTGGCGGATTGTATCTGCCATTGCTGATATTGTAGACTCATCTAGGGAGGTGATTAGCCCTGTACTGCCGAGAAGAATATATTTCCGAGAATTGGTTTGCTTTTTTTACCTGTTACATCGACTTGGAGAACGCGGAGTCTCTGTCTTGCGTCTTTAGGCATGCCCTTGGTTGACAGCAATCTTTCTTGGAGTTCGTCGCAGTTCTTACGAGCCGTTGCGATCACAGGGAGTTCGGTCCGGGACAGAAGCTGCTGTGCGAAGGCGAGCCCCAATCCTCGTGAGGCAGGGGTCACTAAAGCAAATCCATGAGCTGCTGGTAACATGACGGATTTGCTGAACCAGTGTATGTTGTTTTTCAAAGTAGTGAGAGATGCCGGGAACAATTACAACATTGACATTCTACCTACGTATGACGTCACAATGCATTTAAGCTTTGATCTGATCTCCTAAGCTTCTACATCGGGACCTTCGTTCGATGCATGTAAGACAACAGCACAAGCTGCCCATATTCAATAGGTATGATTTAATTTTCTTGAATTGATTGCATATCTCTCAATCCACCCAAACACCACCTATGTACCTCAAGTCTTTCCCTCCAGATCATTGAAGAAGACCCTACCAAACTCATCACTACTATCATTGAAACGAAGCTTCTTGTTGAGTTTCTCTATCTTCTTCATGTCCTCCGGGCTCAGCTTGAAGTCTCCTTGTAGGTTGGCCCTGATCCTCATGGGTGTTTTGGACTTCGGCAGCACCGAGTGGCCCTGCGAGACTCCCCAAGCTGTCAAAACACACTGCAGTCAGCATCATACAAACTAAACTCAGGTAGATCAATCACACTTACCAAGAGCAACCTGAGCACCGGTTTTGTGGTACTGCTTGCCTATCTCGACCAACACAGGCTCGTCGATTAGCTTCTTGGGCCCACCCTTCCCCTTCTCACCATAGAGATTGTTCTGGTTCCCAAACGGCGAGTAGTGCGTGATATGGATACCATTCTCTCGATGCCATGCTGTAAAATCATGCTGCTGCAACCATGGATGACATTCGATCTGATGCACAGCGGGAGCGATAGAACTGTTCTTGATCAGGCGCTCCATATCAGACTTGTCGCAGTTCGAGACGCCGATCGCTCTCGCCTTGCCGGTTTTCAGCAGCTTTTCCATTGCTGCGTACGTCTGCTTGGTTGTCAGCGCGCTTGAACTCGTGGATCAAGAAACGAATGTGCAACATACGTCGACGATGTCGATATTCTCCATAGCCGGCTTTCCATCCTTCTTAGGAAAGAGCTCCTCGCCTCTCTTCCAAGCCACGGGCCAGTGCATTAGGTACAAATCAACGTAGTCCATTCCCAAATCGTCTAGGGATTGCTGCAAGGCTGGTGCCACATCGTCTGGGTGGTGCTTGTTGTTCCATAGCTTGGTCGTGATGAAGATCTCTTCGCGCGGGACGCCGCTTTTCTTGACGCCTTTACCGACAGCCTTCTCGGTTCCGTAACTGGTATACAGTCAGTATTGTAAATTGAACTTATTGGTCGTCTCAGTCAGGAAACAGGGCTATTTACACGCGCGCGGTATCGATGTGACGGTATCCTGCCTTGAGTGCCTCCACTACGGCATCTTCCTGCTCACCCTCGTCCTGCCAGGTACCGAATCCAATGGCTGGGATCTCCGCTCCCGTGTTCAACTTCCATTTTGTGGGCATCTTGGATAAATTGATGTCAAAAATGATTCCAGCTCAAATTCAGAGCATACTAAAGGATTGACATTATTATAAGACATGTCAAGGTGACGAATTCAGATTTATGGTTCGGGTTGATGACATGGAAATGACGTCTTCCGTAATCCCATCACCGAGTCCAGAATATGAAGCTTAGGAGTATGAAACTCATTCGGTGAGCTTGAGGCTTTCGTCATAGCTAGCTTTTCTCCGTATAGAATACCAATGAACCTCGTGGGTCTTGGATGTGTTATCATTATGCTGGCGATAGGCTCTGATCAGCTTTCATCTGATGCCCTGCCTTCCACTAGCTCAGGTGACAAATACACCTCCATAAACACCAACAGCCATTCACCTTGCTAGATCGGAAATCTTATGCTGACAGGTTTGTATGTTCATGATCACGCTACTGGCTCTTGCGATCCGACTAGCTTTTGATACATTCTCATCAGAAACTCCACGCTTCCTTACCAAGCTCGTTAGGATGCTGTTCTCCAATAACCATTTTCGAGCGCCACAAATTGCGTGCTGATGGTTTCTGCCTCCTGCAGTCGGCACTGTCCCTCTATCTTGACGCCAAGTTGGTCATGAGGTATCGAGATGCTCCCGAGGTCCTTGCCCAACAACCTTTTGTTGTTGCTCAACACTCGAGGCCCATGCTATTCGGCCCATGCTATTCGGTATACTGCAAGCAGTTGGGATACCAGTCTATCGATACGAAAGGCCTGGCCACACAACCCACTGTACTTGCATCATCAAGCATGGAAGGCACTAGGTGGAAACATTTACAAGCAAGTCCAAGTCATCTCCCCATCGCAGTAGTATGTATTGCCAGATGGGTCTCCAACCATCCCTTCTTTGACTGGCCATCCCACATGCACATACGGTTCCCTTCACGATACCCACTGATACCCACTCCAACTCTCGGCCCAGCTATTTCGCCGATGTTTGATGCCAAGACAAACAACGCTAAAGGTCGTACACGTCTACCGTAGTTTACCGCTTTAGTTTATATAGCGAGCTCCACCCGCAGATTTTTTCTTTCCTTCTGCATCGCTCGGAATTCTCCAGATCTCACTTTCTTTCTTTTGTTTTTCTTTTCTCAGCTTGGACTGTGTCTAATGATGGCACACACTCCAGCTGTGCTCAAAGCCTGAGGTTAATCCCAGCGCTGCGAATGCTCAGTTTCATTTTTTCAAAAGGTAAGGAAAATCTTTTTTTTCTCTCTCAATCCCAAACCCCCGGGGATGATTATATTATAGACATGCAAAGGCATTCCTCAATCATAAGATCCATGTTGAATCTGTCATACTTTTAAGTTTCAGCCTTGTCTGACCCATCACAACAACATCATTACTTTATAAGCCATTCATTGAGTGATCCTTGACTAACAATCTCTCGCTCAGGTACATTACACTTGCATTCAATCCTATCCCTCCATTGCGGCTGTTGCCTTGCATGAAGAAATTTGAACGAACGGGCGGACATAACGTACCTATCTCCCGCACCCAACAAAACCAGAGCGTACAAACTCTGTGGGTGTATGGAGGTGGATTACTTGTTGAGAATTCGTCACCTGACCCATTGCCCTTTTCACAATTATTTCATGTCGCCTCGACAAGTTGAGACCAGTATTTCTAACAGAAATTCTAGGTAATTCATCACTCATCTCTCTGCCCTTCCTCGACATGGTCATACTTTGCATGATGAATGTGTTATTCACACTGTTGGACCTGGACTTCGGTCTGGGAATGAACATTTATACAAAAATCTGATTTAATGAGGTATGTTGCTCCTATGGATCGGATAAATCGTATTTCTTGCTGACTGACCTGAAGCCTGACTTAGATGCCATGTCTCCATTTCACTTTTGACTCTTGCTTATTGCTCGAATTCCATTGCTGACTTGACATAAGTGAACAAATAGGAATACCCCCGGTAGACCATTTGGCTCGTTGACCGTGAGTTTACTCTACTTCCATTCCCTGTCCTACTATTGCATGATGAATACCAATATACTGTTCTATCTCTGAACTATCATGTCGATAAACTATTTTCACCTTGGAGAACTGATCTTTTCCTTGACCACCATTATTTCACTCAAATTTGTGATGTGATCAATTGCTAATATGCATTACAGGAGCCACTTGGCATTTTATAATAGCTTAATACCAAATAATATTTTTTCTTGAACACTTTCACATTGTAATCGTTGGACTTGTCCGTTGTTCTCGTACCCATTCCGTAAATCCTTTTCTTAGTCACGTTACCCCCATGCTGCATGAAATTTCCCTACTCGACAAACAACCCATGCTTCTTGTGCCATCCCTCAAGACTATCTTCACCATACACCTCGTGCACACTCTTCTTTCCCTCCGGCCACCGCGCCCAGGCCGGCTTGGATCCATTCATGATGCACACCATCTCATCGGGCACTAACAACTCCGTATCGATTGCAGAGGCAAACGGATGAATCAGTTCAGGCCAGTGGTGGTCCCAAAGCCACAACATAGTACTGCAGTTCGAGCAGAAGTTCCGCTCGGAGGAGCAAAGCTGTTCATCCGGTGTGCCGCGGTCTTTGATGGCAGTGTATTTTCTGGTCATAATGTTAGTATATGTGAGTGGTAATGTTATTTGCATATTCTATTATATGAAATGTCTCCCCGCGGATATTGTGCTCGAAATTGCCAGTGAGTGGATATGGATAGGTCATACTTGATCAGATCTTTGCCTTTGATGATATTCAGGCTATCGGCGATGCCGCCTAGGTTCACAGCACCGACGTGTCCGCCTACTTTGCGGCAGATGCTGCAGGCGCATAGCTGGTAGGGAACGGGTGTTTGGGACTGGAGAGTAAATTCGACGCCGCCGCATTGGCAGCTTCCTTCGAGATTCCTATAGACCCGGTTAATATGTCTCGGAGAAGCAAGGCAGTGCTGATGAAGCTCCACGTACATAGGCATGATTTAATAAGTTTGTTTGATAGGTCAGTGGCCAGTAAGAGTATGATCAAGGTGATGGAGGTGGGTTCGTTGTAAAAATATTGGGTTTATCCAGAGTTGAGAGGTGGTACTCGATATATATATACTTCCACCACCGAGGGGGAATTCGACAACAAAACCAACAAAACGAGCAGGCCGCACAGGCCTCGTATGAACAAAGAACGTGTCCAACCTAACACAACCTGTTTCCCATCAATAAAATCTATATCCGAGCGCCCGAGTCCTATTCCCCAGACGCCGGAGTGATCTCATGCATCATCGACCGTATCCTGCAGCTGTGATTGGCTGAGCTGGTGTTTG